ATACAAACACCTAACTTACCCTTGTAGTCGATGACACTAAAAAAGAGATAGGTCACTATTGACACGTCTTTATCAATGTCAGTAAAACTGAATTTTTCAGACCTAACATCAAAGCAAACCATGGTAGATTTTCCGGTATTAAGCCTTGCGGGATAATACAAAACACCATTGATGCATATACCATAATCTTCTAGAAGATAATGAGGTGTGCAACATTGGATCTTTCTCCATGAAAGATTTCCAAGCCCTAATGTCAGAACTTGATACTCATTATACCACCACTGTGAGTCCCTAGGCAACAATGTGATACGCAATACCTTGAATTGTTTGTCGATCGGATCATACCCAAAAGAATAACTTACTTTTCCAATTCTCGTCTCTGAATTCACCCCCTTCATTCTCAGTTTGGGTAAGGCTAAATACTCTCCTGTGATGGGATTAGAAATCACGGCAGATGAATAATTCTCTTCGATATGCTGACAACATACCAGTCCGTGGACAGGGCGACATAATTGAAAGAAACTTGTGTTACAAGTAGTCTTCTGAAGAGAGGTGGCTACAAGAGACGAGTTCCTATTCGGGTTGAAAGGCTGAGGTGAAGAGTTGAATAACAACTCTCCTGGAACTTTGAAGACAAAAAGAAGCCGCGGTGTAGCCGGAGACTTGACCGGGAACAACAGGTTGTAATTTGGACGGCGAATTATGGACGACCACATTTTCGATACACAACGACACCTTGCAATACACTCCAGAGACAATCTCGACAAGATATTGATGACGAGATCAACGGGAATCGGAGCAATGTAACATGTTTCATCTCCAGATGTTGAAGATCGTTTCTTGGATCTGGCTACGGTTTCGGTTAGGTCATCCTCGATGACTTGCTGCTCATGTTTTCTCATAATTAATGAAAACCCTAGATTTTGGCTCTGTGATGGTGTCCCCAATCTGAACAAAAGATATGGAATAATAATTCCTACATGTATCAAGGAATTGGAAGACTCTCTCTTCTATCGGATGCTGCACCCAAGCTCCATAAGTTGGGCTTTATTTAGGCCCCAATACCTTCCTCAGATCCGGGCCTACAGTTTGAACTTTGAAACATCACATTTGTTTAAATATGTAAAATACAATCTGCGTGAATTCATTCATCTTTTTGAATAGCCAGATAACATTAAACATGTATCTGGTTCTTCTTGGAGTGACAATTATTGCAATTTAGATCCTTCAAGCATGTTTATGTAGGACAAAACAAGAAGACGTAAAAAAATCAAAATCCTGTGTTTATGTAACTACGCTGATAAATAAGAACATTCAAACGAAAAAAGGACTGAAAAGACGCACAAGAACAAGAGAAGACAAAAGACTGTTTGGGTCTTTGGGAGAAGTAAACACTTAGATAAGTGTCACAGCCTCTACAAAGTTAATAAACGTGTAAACTCTACAATAGTTGAACTTTCCTAATACTGGAACTTCAAGTCTTACTCTTGTGATAATGTTGCTCTCGAGATTGTAGTAATAGATGAAGAAAATATCTCTTGTATAGTCTGGGAACAACACAATTTCACCACTAGAAACCATTCCAGCAAGGCGTAAATCATGTCTCGTTTCATTCAGCCATTGATGGGGCATTTGGTAGATATGCTTTAACCATTTATGTTCCTCCGCATCCTCTAAAACCCACAACTCAAAAACATTATTGTTAATATCAAAACTACAAGCACCTAACATACCCTTGTAGTCGATCAAAGTGGAACATACGGAATATCCCATCTTTAGTGCCATATAATTATCAATATTAATAAAGCTGAATTTCTCAGACCTAACATCAAAGCAAACTACAGTATATTTTCCGTTGTTGAACCCTGCTGGATAATACAAAACACCATTGATCCATATACCATTTTCTTCTAGAGGATAATGAAGTGTGCAACATTCGATCTTTCGCCATGAAAGATTTCCAGTCCCTAATGCCAGAACTTGATACTCCCCACACGACTCGCGTTCGCCGCAACGCAACCAGGTAATCCGCAATACCTTAAACTGTTTGTCGATTGGATCATACCCAAAATAATATCTTACTCTTCCGTTATTCCTCTCTGAGTTACATCCTACCATTCTCAGTTTGGGTAGGGTTAAAGACTCTCCTGTGATGGGATTAGTAATCACTGCAAATGTGTAATTCCCTTCAGCATGCTGACGACAGACCAGTCCACGGACATGGCCACTAAATTTAGAGAAATTTGTACTAGAAGTCCTCCGACGAAGGGTGGCTACAAGAGACGAGTTCCAATTCGGATTGTGAGGCTGAGGTGAAGAATTGAATAACAACTCTCCTGCAACTTTGTAGACGAAAAGAAGCTGCGGTGGAGCCAAATCCATGGACTTGATCGGGAACAATTGGTTGTAATTTGGACGGCGAATTATGGATGACCAAAGCTTTGATACACAACGACACCTTACTATAAATTTTTGAGACAACCTTGACAAGATATTGATGACGAGATCAACGGGGATTGTATCAAAGCGTTCTACTTCTCTTCCAGAGCTTGAAGATCGTTTATTGGGTCTGGATACGGTTCGGTTATTCTTGGTGACTTGCTGGTTAAGTTTACTCGTCATCATGATAGATAAAGCCCTAGATGAAAAAAAAAGAAAGAGAAACTGTCCGCTTGTTCTTTTCTTTTGGGTCTTTAAATAGGAGAAGATAACATGAACGCAAAGAGTAAATCATGGAATTAATTAGGAATGAGGTTGGGCTTTAACAGGGCCCAAAATCTACTCAATAAATATAGGCCCATAATTGTAGGCCTACCCCTACAATTTAATGATAACTTGGCATATCCATTCAGATTCTCACTATTTAATGATAAACTATTAAACTCTAACTTTATTCATGTGAATCTTTACATAGTTACTAGTTAGATTAAAATATTAAATCAAATCGTCTTATGCTAATTTAACAACATGTCTTTTAAAATATTCCAATTTTGAGCTTTGACAGATTCAGGAATCAATCACATTACAAAAGTTTCAACACAAAATCAGCAGATATGTTTCGAAGATCTAGAATGCTACACGAATAGCTAACACATCAAAAGTTAGTGAATCAACAATGTTTGGTCAGTGAATCAAACAAAACAGAAAAAATAACCTTTACTATTAGGATCTCTCTGTTTTACGGACATAATTTCCAAAAAAATGACGAACAAAATTTAGGGCAGAGTCTCTGATTAAAGACATGAAAAAATAAACATGTAAAAAATCATTGAGAGATAGAGACTGCTCCATTACATTGAATTTAAATCTTGGCCGGGTGAAATTGGGAACTAACATCAAGATGCAAGAACCCATTTGGATCGGCCGTAACATAAACAAAACCATAACAATAACAAGAAGAAAAAACGCAAAACAATTTGGTTCTTGATCAAAGAAATGTGAGATCTTTTCTTCCGATTTGCAACAAAGAAATTTACTTGCAGGAGGAAATAGAGAAAAGATCAATGGGTTTTGATTTATGCCCGCAACGGAACAAGAACAGCATTGGATCTCGCTGCTCTGATCTCTCAAAGGCACTTGGATTTAACCCTAATTGCGGCGATGTTTATTTATAAGCAGCAAGAGAAAGAAGACGACCCTTCAGTGTTTCGAATTGTCTACTTTACCCTTAGACCTATTTTTTAACCTATCTTTATATATTTTCTGAAAGGGCCCAAGACTTTGGAAAGTTTCCAAAACGTACCTAAGTTTTTTTGCTATCTATTTAGCCCTAGTGTTCTTATAGTACTTGAGACAATCCAAGAAGACGAACAAAGGCAAAGGGCATCTATTTCAAAACACTCTCTTATTAAGATTTAATGATAATGATACAACGAGATTCATGATTATAGGAAAATCACACACACCAATTATTTCACTACCATCACACATTTTTTTGGTCTTAAACATTCACCTTTAACCGGAGATATCAATGGACTTAACCTCAGGCTTCTTCTCTGGCACTTTAGGCACGGTAACAGACAACACACCATTCTCCATACTGGCCTTGATCTCTTCCATCTTCGCATTCTCCGGTAGCTTAAACCTCCTCATGAACTTCCCACTAGACCGCTCCACACGGTGCCACTTGTCATTCTTTTCCTCATTCTCATTGCTCCTCTCTCCGCTTATCTGAAGTATGTTGCCAGCTTCAACCTCCACCTTCACTTCTTCTTTCTTTAGCCCCGGTAAGTCCGCCTTGAACACGTGCGCCTCGGGTGTCTCCTTCCAATCAACTTTAGCGTTAGTGAACGCTGCCACATCCTTAGCATGTGTGTTTGCCAATCCTGACGGCGTCAAGAATCCTTCGAATGGATCCCATACGTCTAGAGAGAATGGATCGAAAACATTCGTTCTTCTTCCTCCGAAGATGCTTGGAATTAGAGACATCTTTTCACTTCCTCTTGTGATTGCTACTCTTTGCGTTTGCTCTGTTTTAAAGATTTGCTTTGCTATGAACTCTTTACTCTTTGTTGATTCAAACGCCTACGAGCCGTCGCTAATTTATAGGGAGAGAGTATGGAAAAGAGGAGAGAAAGTTCTGCAAGTTTCTTGAGATATCATTTTGATCAATGGTTTTCTTGAAAGATCAGGGATCTTCTTTCACTTTCTTTATAACGACTTTACCAGACATCTCAAGTGCTTTCAAGAAGTTTCTGGTGTTAAGAGTTGAGACGACGTGCAATGCATCAGGTCTGCAAGTGAACGCCTTGCCGTTTTTGTTTTTTTTGGGCTACAAGGCCCATTAATGATTTCGGCTTTATGGCTGTTTTTTTTTCCTTTTTGTTTTGTTGTTGTTGTGAACATTGAACAATTGGCTTCGGTTCCCAAATGAATCAAAACATCTAAAACTTTGTATCAAGGACACAATTATCATTCCCATAACGCTAGAGCTTTTCCGATCTAACAATATGAATCTTAACATTAGATATTGTTGTTTCAGGTATTATAAACAATGTCAGGACCATGGCTTTCCTCTATTAGAGCCGAAAAGGAGGCTAAAAGGAATGCTTATCCCACTTTCATGATCTTATCAAACTTTGAATGATACATTACTCGGATGAGTTACAGTGCAGCAAAATCGCTGGTGTAATCTCTTAACGCATCTTTTTGCGGACGAAACCGATACTGCAGAGAGACAGCCTGATTACCTGAATGTGTATGTATATGATTGTCATCTCAATGACCCAAAGTATTCTGGTGGCCAGACCTAGAGAAGCAAACAGATGGTTACTGAGGAGATAATTGTCACTGATTTTCATAATAATTTCACAGCTAGAAAATCTGAGAAAAGACTGTCAGATTAAAAAGAGTTACCCGAAGAAGAGCTTTTCCTTCAATGAGACTGTAAGGTATAGGTCCAAAATGACGTGAATCAGTCGAAGCATACAAGTTATCTCCCTGAATCCAAACATGACCTTTTGGAACCTATTGAAGAAGTAAACACAAAACCCTTTATTAGAGAAGCTTTGATGATGCGAAAACCAAGATCGGACGCAGTGGAGAGATATAAGACAGCAAAAAGCCTAAATATTATAACTACTCTGAAATCGACTTTAATCGAAACCAGTTACTAGCAATGATTCACATTCTAGACCATATCAAATCATCAATCATACACAATTGAACCCTTAGCTCTAGAAATTTGAAAAATGCTATAACTACTCTGGAATCGACTTTATCAGAAACCAGTAGCTAGCAATGCTTTACAATCTAGAGTCTAGACCATGACCATCCCAAATCATCAATGATACACAGAGAAACCCTGAAAGCTAAATAAGCAAATTCCATCTTCTTTTACCTTAAACCTAAATGCTATAAACTACTCAGAAATCGGCTTTAATCGATCTAATAACCAGCAATGCTTCACACTCTAGACCATCCCAAATTATCAATCATACACAGACACCCTAAACCTAGAAATTTGCAAATTCCATCTTCTGTTTTACCTTAATCCATTAATGCTATGGCTACCCCGAAATCGGCTTTAATAAAAACCAGTAAACAGCAATGATTCACCTTTTACACCATCCCAAATTATCAATCACACACAGATAAAACCCTAAACCCGAAATTTGCAAATTCCATCATTTTCACCAAATGCAACAAAAGATTGAATTTTTAATAGAGAGATTGCTCAATGTTCATACCAAAACGCTCACTGAAGCATCACCGACTAATGGGTCCGCAGAAAAAGTGAGTCTATCGCCTTCTAAACCTAAGATTCGCTTTGTCACCATCCTGTTTGGGTCTCTAGGAGATCGAACCAATACAACGTCACCGAGCCCAATCTTACCAAACCGATGTGATAAATGTTCCGCCAAAATTACATCGCCTGTTAGATTAAGCGTCGGAAGCATGCTCGGACCGTGAACCTAAAACCCCAAAATCAAACATAATCAGATTTTTGTAGAATACGAAAGAGAAATAGATTCAATTTCGTTAGGTTACAAACAATTACAGACATGAGTCGTGGAGATTATGTAACGATCAGTGACATGAAGCAAGCAGAGAAACTTGGCGACGATTGATACATTCTCGAACGCTTCTTTTGCTGTTCCACGCCATTGCTTCAGAAAACTTAACACTCTCATACTCATCTCTCTGTCGGAGAAGCGAATCTCGTCAGAAGTAGCAGAAAAAGGCCGAAGACGACGAAGGTAGCGAACCTAGTCGACTCTAGACTTAAAACGACACGCAGTTGGTTATTCAAAACTCTAAACGACACCAAAATTTGACCTTTTAATGTGTTTTTTACTTACTAATGATAAAACTACATGTAGTTGAGCCGCGTAAACTGAAAACGACATGTTTTCTTCATTAATTACAACGAAAGTGAATTTGTTATGATGATCTGTATAATTTACAGAGTCTAGTGGCTCTTCTTGTTCTAAAGATCGAACACTTAGGATTTATCGCCGGAGTTTTTGAACATGGACGGGATTCTTGCAGCTGTTCCATTTGCAATGTGTGTCTCTCTACGCAGTTCTTGTCGGAATCGGGATAATGCTGAATCCATATATCATTTTCCCAGCAAATCCTCGAATCGAGTTTCAGTGTTTCAAACTGGGAACTACGTTACTTCTCAAAGAGGCAATTCGTTGCTTAAAAAGCGACATTACAGTGAAATTTCCCGTGTGATCGTAAAATCCGCCGCTTCTTCAGGTAAAGGTTGAGCCTTTATTGTTGTTGTTTCAGAAAAAACAAAATTTGATCTGCAAATTGTAGCTGATTTTGCTTTGGAGATTGCAACTTAAACAAACAAGATCTTTGTGCTTATTTCTTGTAAGAGCGTGAAGAAACAGTGTTAGATTTAGCAAGGAAACGGTTTAGAAATGAATTGTAATGCATTTGAGTTTTAACCCAATTTTAGTTGGAAATGTAGACGAGTACGCTGAAGAAATGGCTACAAGTGTAAAGTTTCAGAGATCAGTGACATTACCGGGTTGTTCTAGCCCATTGTCTTTGCTTGGCACTGGTTAGTTTTGACTGTATGCTACGGCTTTATATATCTATGTGGGATCTTGTGTAGATGAAATGCTTATAAACTTGCTCTGAGACTTCCATCAATGAATCAATCTGTGAAAATGCATCAAATTTTGTCAGGGTTTAGGGAGAAAAAGTTTGCTATCATCGATGTCAAAGTCTATGCTGCGGGTTATTATGTGAATGAATCTATCTTGAGCGGGTTAAGCGCTTGGAAAGGGCGGTCTGCTGATGAGATCCAGAGAGATTCATCACTGTTTAGTTCCATTTTTGAAGGTAATGAAATGCTAAAGATGATAGCTTTCTTTATCCACATTTGATCTCTCACTCTCTCTCCTAAGTCTTCTTCCTGCTCGTCGATGCAGCTCAAGCAGAGAAATCTTTGCAGATTGTTCTTGTGAGAGATGTTGATGGTAAAACCTTCTGGGATGCATTGGATGAAGCCATTTCCCCAAGAATCAAATCTCCATCTTCTGATGATACAACCGCTCTCTCTATATTCCGCGGGATCTTCCAAAACAGACCTCTCAACAAAGGAAGTGTCATACTCTTGACTTGGATCAACACTTCTAAAATGCTTGTAAGCACATTTTTTCAGCCTTTGGCTAAACTGAATTATTACACAGGACGTGTTATTGTTGCTTGCTTAATTGTCGGTTCTTTTTGTTAGGTTTCTGTTTCTTCGGGAGGATTGCCAACGGATGTGGATGCAACGATCGAGTCAGGTAATGTTACATCTGCTCTATTCGATGTGTTCTTTGGGGATTCTCCAGTTTCTTCTACATTGAAATCCTCGGTAGCTAACCAATTAGCTATGACCCTTGTGTAAAAGTAAAGACCATGTTGTAATTGTATATCATGAATCTTGCAATGTGTTAATTAATCTCTGTTTATGTTATCTTCTTAACCAGATAAAGTTAGCCAACATGAACCAATTTAATACTCGAAATCTCATGTGAAACTTTATTTATTATCAATTTTGTTTTTAAGATGGAATGTGGTGAATATTATCAAAGCAAACTAAACTAAAATGGGTCTTGATCCAAAAAAGATATTACATTTAGTTCAAAATAGTGAGTCAAACAGCCAATTAAAATGGAAGTTAGGTAAATTAAAATTGAAAAGTCGAAGTAAAGGATCTTAGTTTCTACAGTGGGAAATAAAAAAATGATTGTGGAAGACAAGAGAAGATGAATGAAATTATGTTGTTTGAGCCAAGTTGAACAAGTGAGTGAGTCCTTTTCTTGGTGTGCCCTTTACCACATGCAACTTCTTCTCCACTGGACCACAATCACACATTATAATTTATAACGATACTTTGTCTTTTTCATCAATATAGAGTTGTGCAGAAATTATAATTATTTATGGGGATCCCTTTTAAATTTTTCCATCATTATATGTGGTTCATAGATTTTTAATAATACCTCAGAAATGGCTCTATTGAGCATTATTAATTTAAACTGTTGACAAAAAAAAAAGATTTTTATTAATATGTAACTCAAATAAATAAACAAACAAAAATAAATCCGCTTGGTATAGATATTTTGGCTCCTCCAGTCAAAACTCTAAAATATACATACACAAATAGCATGATTCATGTGGTGAATGGTAATATTATGTCCCCTCTGTTGAATTCTGACTCATGCTATTTTTTTTTCATATCTAAAATATTATTAAAAATTTCAATTTAAAAATTGTATTATTAAAAAAAATCATCTAAATAAATATTTTCTGGTTATATCTTTATATTAATCCCTATTATATGTTTATGCAAAGCCTGGTCGAAATAGATAGAACCAGCATTTATAATAATCTTGGCCGATCCTATTTATGACACAATTATCTTAAAAATGCCCCACTTAGTCAAAGATAGTAAAATTATGATTTTTAAAACCGAAAGTAGAAGAAAATTAATACTAATGAAATATGCAAAAAAGATCAACTTTAGGTTTAACGCCTTAAAATATTATCAATAATTTGACACCTACAACTACATTGTGATATAGTGTGAAATTATGATATTTTTGTACTTTAGGTAATGGACCAACTTTAGATTTGAATGCCTCAGATACAACAATAAGATGTTGGATTTGTTTTCCATATAAAATCAAGATCAGATATAATAATATTTAACATAATCTTCACCTTTTAATGGATTTGCCCCTCTTGTGATAAACTTTTAATATGAGCCAGACACTAATTGTTGGTCTTTTCAATAAATACAAACGCCAAATTGTGTAAATTGACAAGTGAATATCAATATACCTTTAGTTTCACACGAAATTGCAAAATTATTAATCTATTTATTTTATTTTTCTTTTTCTTTTGTTTTTATCATCCCATTTTTTTTTTTTTTTTTGACTAAAACATAAGCGACAGATAATCAAATAAATATCAAGCAAACAACTTGACACTCTTTTTCTGAATGTTAGTTTAATATCAAAGATGGTATTTATATCCTAATATATTAATTGTGTATCGTCTTTACCAAATTAATTTAAAATCTGAGACCAATATCTTCTAGCAATATCTATTTACTTATGAAAATTAGTCAATTGGATATATCTTAAAAACAGTCCAGTCGACGAAAATATTATTCAATTTAAGAAAAAAATCGAGGAATTATTTGTTTATTGTAAATATTTATCACAAGCAAATTGAGATAATGTTAATATATTCCTTTCAGTTGTACGAGAAAAACAATCACGTGGGGGTTAAATTGACCACTTGATAAAAAGAGTGGCTAGAATTAAAATTAAAAATTAAGATAGGGGTCAAAATCGGAATTTAAGAAAAATAAAACGGTCCAAGTCCAGCAACAGGTGTCTTAACCAATGGGTCATTTTCAAAAAAGGTCGTCAACAGTGGGAGAAAATCAATAAATACTTTACCCTCAAAGTTATCTAAAATAACGAAACTGCCACTATCTGGGATTTGTCACACCCGTACGCAATAAGTACCACGAGAAATTGCTAGAATTAGAAATTATTTTTATTCAAATTTAGAAAAAATATCTCAAATTCGGTATTTGTAAAATCCTCTCTCGTCTTCGTCTTCGTCTTCTTCTTCGATCGCTGGATCTAGGTTTTGTTCTTCTCTGTATCGTCTTCTTCACAGACTGGGCTTGATTAGAGTTCTTCCTTCTGGGATTCTTAGCAATCTAGGGTTTTGTTTTTTCCTTTTGAAAACCCGATCCAGATTTTGTTATTTGAGATTAAATTTTTTTGAAGAAGATGCAACAAAATCAAGTGAAGAAGGTTAGTCTCTTGCTCTCTCTCAATCATGGTTTGGTTCTAAATGTGTGAAATAGAAGATAAAGTCTTTTCCTTTTTCAAATTTTTTTTAAAAAAGCTTTCCTTTTTCAATTGCAATTAGGTTTTGTTGCATGAGCATAAATAAGATGGATTTTTTCGAATTTGTGTTGATGAGTGGATAAAGTTTGTGTTTTTATCTACTTTTGTGATTCACCAGGGGACGAAAGAGATGGAGTTTTTTACAGAGTATGGTGATGCTAATAGATATCGGATTCTGGAAGTTATTGGTAAAGGAAGCTATGGAGTTGTGTGTGCAGCTATTGATACACATACTGGAGAGAAAGTTGCTATTAAGAAGATTAATGATGTCTTTGAACATATCTCTGATGCGCTTCGTATTCTCCGTGAAGTGAAGCTTCTTCGGCTTTTACGGCATCCTGATATTGTGGAAATCAAAAGCATTATGCTGCCTCCTTCTAAGAGAGAGTTTAAAGACATTTATGTTGTGTTTGAGCTCATGGAATCAGATCTTCATCAAGTTATTAAAGCTAATGATGATTTGACTCGTGAACACCACCAGTTTTTCCTTTATCAGATGCTTCGAGCTTTGAAGTTCATGCATACAGGTGCGATTTGTTTCATTGTTATTGGGACATGTTGTTTTATTTCTCAGGTTGTAACTAACTGTATTTCTTTTGAGTGCAGCTAATGTTTATCATCGTGATCTTAAGCCAAAGAATATACTGGCTAATGCAAATTGCAAGTTGAAAGTTTGTGACTTTGGATTGGCTAGAGTAGCGTTTAATGATACTCCTACAACAGTCTTTTGGACGGTTAGTAGCCTCGTGGAGGAGACTTTTTGTTTATTAGCCGTTATATTCTGTTTTTCGTTACTGTCTGATTTTGTATGGTTGGTTAATTTTGTGTGTTTGATTTAATCGCGATGCAGGACTATGTTGCTACAAGATGGTATAGAGCACCTGAGCTCTGTGGATCATTCTTTTCGAAGGTAGGTGTCACTGTGGATTTCTTCTATGCACTCTAGTTGGCTATGCTTTAGGTATTATGTACAGATTAGTCTTTAGTGTAGAATATCTGCAGATTAGTGTTATTTGATGTTACTTGTATAAGTATAGAGTTATGCCCCAGTGGGATATTAAAATAATTCTTGTTCAGGGATGACTTTGAACTCTCCCCGAAGTTGAAAATCTATGAATCAGGTAACCTTGTATCAGGTTATGTTCATTGAGTGGTTTCTTTTGCATCTGCAACTTTATATATGTGGATTTTGTTTTTTCATCATAGTCTGATTTACAGTTAATATTATTTTGCAGTACACTCCAGCTATCGACATTTGGAGCATTGGCTGCATCTTTGCAGAGGTACTTACAGGGAAGCCATTGTTTCCGGGGAAAAGTGTCGTCCATCAGTTGGAGTTGATTACTGATCTTCTTGGCACACCAAAATCAGAAACAATTTCTGGAGTATGATTCCTTTGTCTGCTTCGAATTAATTTTTGGAGTACATATAGCTAAACATCTATTTCTCTGATGTAGGTTCGAAATGATAAAGCTAGAAAATACTTGACCGAAATGAGGAAGAAAAATCCTGTCACCTTCTCGCAAAAATTCTCCAAAGCAGATCCATTAGCACTCCGTCTTTTGCAGAGGCTGTTGGCTTTCGATCCAAAGGATCGACCGACCCCTGCAGAGGTCTCTATTCTGTCATTTTCACTTTGTAATTAGATTCTTGTTCAGTTCTCTTTGAAAAGCTTCCTTGCTTCTTGTGTGTATCTCTGCTTACTTTGCTACCTTTGTTTCTTTCGATAGGCATTGGCTGATCCTTACTTCAAGGGTCTTTCTAAGGTTGAAAGAGAACCTTCAAGTCAACCAATCTCGAAGATGGAGTTTGAATTTGAGAGAAGAAGGTTGACAAAGGACGACATTAGAGAACTAATATACAGAGAAATACTGGAATACCATCCTCAGTTGCTCAAGGACTATATGAGCGGATCTGAGGGGTCTAATTTTGTATATCCTAGGTCTGAATTTCTTCCTACCTTTGACCATTATTCACCAAATGAAACGTTCTTTGTTTCTTTCTCCCTTTGAATTTTATCAATTGCATACTTCTGGCTGGCTTTTCACTCATGTTTTGACTTTTTCACTTGCAGCGCCATTGGACATCTTAGACAGCAGTTCACTTACTTAGAGGAAAATAGCAGCAGAAATGGGCCGGTCATACCTCTCGAAAGGAAACACGCATCACTTCCGCGGTATGTTTTCTTATTCTTTCTAACTGTGGGGAATAGCATTCGTGAAGCATATGGTCGAAGGCCTCAAGCAAACTTTCATATGTTCTCTACTCTTCTAATAGATATGATTGTTTTCAACAGGTCTACGGTTCACTCAACTGTAGTCCATTCCACCTCGCAACCCAACTTGAGTGCAACAGATAGTAGACGTGTTTCTTTCGAGCCTTCAAAAAATGGAGTTCCTTCTGCAGGACATCCATCAACTTCTGCGTATCCCACTAAATCTATTGGACCTCCACCAAGGGTTCCACCATCAGGTCTCAGTCATATCACTAAATGTTATTGCACAAAGTTAGAAACTTTATCTAACTTTCACCACATGTTATTACAGGTAGACCAGGTCGAGTTGTGGAATCATCTATATCTTATGAGAATGGCAGGAACCTCAAAGAAGCTTATTTCAGAAGCGCGGTTTCATCTCCTCATTGCTACTTCCAAGCGAACACCATGACGAACCCAGAGAACCGCAACGTAGAAGCTTCGTCTTTTCCGCCAAAACCACAAAATCCTGTCCACCAATTCAGTCCCACCGAGCCGCCAGCTGCTACAACTAACCAAACAGACGTTGAGACTATGAACCACCCAAACCCTTACTTTCAACCACAGCTCCCCAATATAGATCAATTAAACAACAACAACAACACGCATATGGCCATCGATGCTAAGCTGTTGCAGGCACAATCACAGTTTGGTCCAGCTGGAGCTGCAGCGGTTGCAGTAGCAGCACACCGGAACATAGGAACAATTAGTTACGGCGCAGCATCATAGACAACACTTCAGACAGATCTTTAACCACCACATCTTCCTCCACCAGGTGATTCTGGTCTCTCTCTAGTTTTTATGTAAGTATTATTCGGTCAGGCTCTGATTTGAACTATGTCGCAATGATATGATAAAGACTTTTATTTAGTTGTAACTCTCCAGAACAAGATCGCCTTGGATTAGTCTGATTGCGGGTCAGTCCCGGTTATTGTTTCGGTTATCTTGTTGGCTCCATAATCTTTGAATTTTCCATAAGCGTAGTTCACAGTAGAGAAGAATATCGTGGTGATTATATACTTCTTAAACTTCTTAATCGGTCCCATTAGTCTTTATTGTTCTTCAACAATGAATAATCTCTCTTTGATTATTGGATAATTTGGTCTTGATTGGTTAATATAGACAACATAATGCCGAAGAATGTGGAAGTGAAAAAAAAACATTGGTCCTTAGATTTTTCATCTCCGTAAGCCACTCTTTCTCAGATCATAATTAGTCAATTTTATTCAATGGTTACAAAATGAAAAAACTCTTGACCTCAAGACTTAACTTCTAATTTTTGACGCCGTTAACATGTTTATAATTTACCCGCCAATTTAATAGGCCCGAGCTCAGCCCATTAAAGGTTTTATTGGGAGTCCATTTACTAATAGCGAATATCACTTTCTCAATTTAACAAGCATGAAAAAGTGTAAATTTGATCTATTTAATATTTATAAACTAAAAAGGAAGCAAATCAATTATTTCGTTACGTGACGGTGACATTAAGCATCTGCATTAAATAATCCGTTAAGTTTAATCTCAGGTTTTTTTGGGTTGAACTAATATTAAATATCAGGTTGACTTGTAGTTATCTTTTTAATCAAGTGATTAAATTTTAGAACTGACATGTCTACGTTACACCATAAATAAACCAGGGATTTTAATTAATTTCCAAGATTAACTTTCTAAATAAGGAAAATCATACTTTGTTCGTCAATGACTATAATTTGGAAATATTGCAAATTATTTATTTTCTTTCTTTATACATATAGTTAATTACTTATCAAAATTTCATTCTATTCTAAATATCTGAATGTCCTATTTTAGTAGAGAGCCAATAAATAGACTCACATTTATGTTGGAAAAAAAAAAAAAAAGAGAAAAGACATGAGTTTAATGTCGGACGCTAGACTCACGAGAAATCCGTAATATCTAAGAGAAGAAAGGGTAAATTAGTCAATTGGCTCCTACGGTTCTCCGTAACTGTCTCAGAATATAAGAGGCGCATTGTTGAGAGAAGCTCCGTAGACCGTAGATTCCCTCTTCTTCTTCTTCCTCCTCTGTACTGTTTTTTCTTTTCATATTTCTCTCTCTATTCTTGGTGAAGTTTCTCTCTCTATCTCTACCTCTAAGTACTCTCTTAAGATCTTCTTCTCTCTTGGGTTATCTGATTCTAACCTGAATTGTGTCGGTACGTGAAAATTGTTTCTCTCTCTCTTTCTATTTCTATAATTTTGTGAAATGTTGTACGTGAGTGACAATATATTTCTATGTTTTCTGTTTATGATCACATATGAAATGTTTTAAGATCTGTCGCTGAATTGGAGATCTGGATCTGATTTCCTTTTCCTATGATCCGTTTCTGAATTTTCCTTGTGACGTTTTTTTTTGCAGATATCAAAAATGGATGATACTACTACGTATAAGCCAAAGAACATTCTCATTACTGGAGCTGCTGGATTCATTGCTTCTCATGTTGCCAACAGATTAATCCGTAGCTATCCTGATTACAAAATCGTTGTGTTGGACAAGCTTGATTACTGTTCAGATCTGAAGAATCTTGATCCTTCATTTTCTTCACCAAACTTCAAGTTTGTCAAAGGAGATATCGCCAGTGATGATCTCGTTAACTACCTTCTCATTACTGAAAACATTGATACCATAATGCATTTTGCTGCTCAAACTCATGTTGATAACTCTTTTGGTAATAGCTTTGAGTTTACCAAGAACAATATCTATGGTACTCATGTTCTTTTGGAAGCCTGTAAAGTTACAGGACAGATCAGGAGGTTTATCCATGTGAGTACTGATGAAGTCTATGGAGAAACCGATGAGGATGCTGCTGTAGGAAACCATGAAGCTTCTCAGCTCTTACCCACGAATCCTTACTCTGCCACTAAGGCTGGTGCTGAGATGCTCGTGATGGCTTACGGTAGATCATATGGATTGCCGGTCATTACCACTCGCGGGAACAATGTTTATGGGCCTAACCAGTTTCCTGAGAAAATGATTCCTAAATTCATCTTGTTGGCTATGAGTGGGAAGCCGCTTCCCATCCATGGAGATGGATCTAATGTCCGGAGTTACTTGTACTGTGAAGACGTTGCTGAGGCTTTTGAGGTTGTTCTTCACAAAGGAGAAATCGGTCATGTCTACAATATCGGTACAAAGAGAGAAAGGAGAGTGATCGATGTGGCTAGAGACATCTGCAAACTTTTCGGGAAAGACCCTGAGTCAAGCATTCAGTTTGTTGAGAACCGACCCTTTAATGATCAAAGGTACTTCCTTGATGATCAGAAGCTGAAGAAATTGGGATGGCAAGAGCGAACAACATGGGAAGATGGATTGAAGAAGACAATGGACTGGTACACTCAGAATCCTGAGTGGTGGGGTGATGTTTCTGGAGCTTTGCTTCCTCATCCAAGAATGCTTATGATGCCCGGTGGAAGACTTTCTGATGGATCTAGTGAGAAGAAAGACGCTGCAAGCAACACGGTCCAGACATTTACGGTTGTAACACCTAAGGGTGGTGGTTCTGGTGACAAAGCTTTGTTGAAGTTTTTGATCTATGGTAAGACCGGTTGGCTTGGTGGTCTTCTAGGGAAACTATGTGAGAAGCAAGGGATTACATATGAGTATGGGAAAGGACGTTTGGAGGATAGAGCGTCTCTTGTGGCGGATATTCGTAGCATCAAACCTACTCATGTCTTTAATGCTGCTGGTTTAACTGGCAGACCCAACGTTGACTGGTGTGAATCTCACAAACCAGAGACCATTCGTGTAAATGTCGCTGGTACTTTGACTCTAGCTGATGTTTGCAGAGAGAATGATCTCTTGATGATGAACTTCGCCACCGGTTGCATCTTTGAGTATGATGCTGCACATCCTGAGGGTTCGGGTATAGGTTTCAAGGAAGAAGACAAGCCAAATTTCTTTGGTTCTTTCTACTCGAAAACCAAAGCCATGGTAATATAGTACACCTTATCAACATTCTCAAAAACCATATGTGTCTTTGTTCATAATTGCTCTGTTTTTCCACCAGGTTGAGGAGCTCTTGAGAGAATATGACAATGTATGTACCTTGAGAGTCCGGATGCCAATCTCCTCAGACCTAAACAACCCGAGAAACTTCATCACGAAGATCTCACGCTACAACAAAGTGGTGGACATCCCGAACAGCATGACCATACTGGACGAGCTTCTCCCGATCTCCATCGAGATGGCGAAGAGAAACCTAAGAGGGATATGGAACTTCACCAACCCAGGGGTGGTGAGCCACAACGAGATACTGGAGATGTACAAGAATTACATCGAGCCAGGTTTTAAATGGTCCAACTTCACATTGGAAGAACAAGCAAAGGTCATTGTTGCTGCGCGAAGCAACAACGAAATGGATGGATCTAAACTAAGCAAGGAGTTCCCAGAGATGCTACCCATCAAAGAGTCACTGATCAAATACGTCTTTGAACCAAACAAGAGAACCTAAGCCTTCAATGAACATCACACTCTTGCCACAAGTGCTTACTTTAAATTGTTTCTTTTTTTTTTTTTTTTTCTTTTTGCCTTTTCTTTCAACAGAAATATCTTTTTATATTTACTCATCGTCTTATGATCCTTGTAGGTAGTTTCACTATATTGATTCTACTAAAATATGATTTACCATTAATATTTATATAGACGAGAGTTTTTCTTTTTCTCAAATCCTACATTTTCCCTCATATTTTTACTTACTAAGACATACAGCTTATAAAAAAGAAGAGTCACTTACTGACCATTAGGGCTTCCACCAAGGCAGTTTCAGAAAACTTGAACTTGATTCTGAAGCTATAGCCTGAGAAGAGAAGCAACACGTTTTTTTAGAACAAATCCAAGTACCTGATGTGAATTTGGTCAATTTTTAATGGCTATAGTTTGCTTACGTGAACAGTTGAGGGCGGGAACGAGAGAGCTGAGAACGCTTAATAGGGGAGAGAATAAGGTTTCGTAGAGTTGACTGGGGATTAGAAGTGCCACCACCACCATATACAGGATGTCCTCCTCCTGCTCTTCTGTTTCCAAGATCGGATGGAATCGCGGGTGAGTCAGTGGAGATGTCGAATGGACCCGAATTTGAACTGTTCTGTCTTGCTGGCCATATCTCATCTTTAGGTCCTGGTGTTGCAGGAGAGAAAAACGAGCGGTCTGCATCAAATAAGTCAACTTGATTTGGAGATATTTAACCAAAAATAGACTCAGGATCATAAGCACTAAGCTCCAGGCACAGAAATAGTGTAGTTAAATTAACCTTTGCGAATGGGCTCTCTGTTCTCCATCATGTTAACTGCTGGGTTAGAGAAAAAGTCGGGTTCTTGGTGTCGCGGATAGAAGTTGTTTGCTGGTTGGATGGCTGTACGTTTGACTGACTCATACTCACTTCTTAGCTGGTCATACATCTCATCAAGCTTCCTCTTCTGTCTGGTAATTCAAACACAATTAAGGTACCTTCTTATCACAGTTGAGTTTAATATAGGGTAGAGAACCAGGAAAAAAATACGTATCTTAAGTTACTGACCTTGATTTCTCAGAGAACTTCTCTTGGAGCTCTTGCTTATCCTTGGTCAAGTTTTCTACCTCTTGCTCCATCATCTGACACCTCTTGCCCATCTTCTGGTATGCTGTATGCACCTGCTCCATTTTCTCGCTAAACTTTGCTTGCATACCCTCACATTTCTGACGACACTGTGCAACAACTCTATTCATCTTGTACTGCATCTCTAAGTCCCTTTGGGCAATGTAAAACATTACACTTCGGTATGCACTCTTCATCACTAGATTCAGTTAAGGAAAACGAGGGGTTCTTGAACTTTAAACTGTTGCTATACCAACTCTTACAAATGCAAAAGACATAGTCACTTGATGGATAAAGTTATAGCACTTGAGTTTAGATATCAAATACAGACTCAGACTACAGAAGGGACATTTATCAATTGAAAACCATAGTTGCAACTGACAAATGATTTTACCAAGAATGAAATAGACTACATTTATGAAAAGGATACGTATTTGTGGAGAAATTCCAGCCATCGCCATCTGATAACACAGGTAAGCAATGAGGAGATGTAAGATGTGAATATTGGAAACTGGAAAAGCAAAAAAGCTATAGTATCCTTGCGTATTTCAGCTCAACCACTTACATTTATCCATTCTTCATTTGGATTGATATCCACAGGTTTCATTAGACTAAGATGGAAAGATAAAGAGACAAACTGTCAAGCCGGAAATAAGGCGACTAAGACTAAACTGAAGCTAGGCAAGTAGCTTAGGGAAGTTTTACCTCTTGGAGAGTACTTGATCACAAATGGGACATGCCCCATCATTACTGAGAATCTTGCTGGCATCTTCAGTGCCTTTTCATGGTGTTAAGGTTATCTTATTCAAGCTCACAAGTGTTGCTAAAGGACGCAAACAGGTACACAAAAGAAAAGTAGAAAGTGTAAATAGGATACATAATAAGTGACCGCAAGTGGTGGAAATGGCCCTGCCCTCCAGATCCCTCCAACACGCGTTGCATCTCATGTCAGCGTCTAATATAAGTACCTCAAGCTGCTACGCACCTGCAAATTAACTTCATATCAAACAAGATAAAGAGCCATGCTCTAAATGAAACTTCCATTCTCCATAGAACTAAGCTCATTTATATCACCAATAAAATAGTATTCCCAATACAAGTTTTGATTAACCTAGATTCATTCTAACTGCTGAAAATTGTTAAATTGCAAACACGAATTGGTACAACAGGTTTATGGAAATACAAAGGAAGCAATCAGATCTGTCGAACTTCAGTAATTAGCAGTTCATAGTCATCGGAGAGGTACAAAACTTACACTAACTGTGATAATAGTTAGTAATCAGGATTTTAAGAAGACATTAAAACGATTTTGAAAACGGAAACCCTAGAAATTCAGCATAAAACTGCATAGATTTCAGAATTCGGCAAAATTTCGACTGCACAGTCCCGAAATTAGGGTTTCTACATCACAGAGATCAACTCAATTCAACAGTTAGCTGCCGACTTACGATTCTACAGAATACTGGACACAAATTGATTTATCAATCTCCCTAATTTGAGATTGACACAAACCTTCCAAAAATTGGAAAGAGCTTAAGTCTAGAAACGAAATCACAACAGGAATGTGAAGATCTAAGAAGAAATTGAAGAAGCTTACCAGCGATTCTGATAGAGCGACAGAGAAAACGCGTCGCAGAGAGTGATGAAGAACAACAACAAACGGCGATTAAGCTAACCGATCTGACGGAATCTGAAGAATAACACCAAAAACAGAAGCGAATGATCTCAAAAATCGCAAATCGAAGAAGAAGCATATGCAAATCCGAGAGAAAACACAAGAGCTTCAAGGATCGTTACCTCGCTCGCTGATTTCAATGCCGGCGCGAGAAACGAAGATTTCAAATTTCCAGAAATAATGAGCAGTAGCAAAATGACTAGAGTGAGCAATAAAAATCTAAAAACGACGTCGCTCTCGTGTTGAAACGTTATGTTCAATAAAACGACGTCGCGCTTGTGTTGAAGGTTATGTACATCGCTAAAACGGCGTCGTCGGTTTTGTTAAGCTAATAAGACTTCCTTTTTTTGGTTCATTGTTGATCTCAAGACTTCAACAGACACAACTGCTTATAGAATCAATTATTCAAATGCCGTAAGCTTTTATTTCATGACTAGTCTATAACCACTCAACAACAAAAACAGACTCCGCTTTCCCAATGAAAATGAAGAATCCTCAAGTCCTTTAGACAATAAAAGAGAAAGAGAATGAGAAGGAAGACGAAAAAATCTCTCTTTTTCACTCACTACAAATACAAAAACACAAGAAAAGTACTCAAAACTTTCCAATATTCAAACACTGCGTTGTTGATTCCAGCTAGGAGGAATGCGATCCGATGTGATCGGAGTAGCAGCAGGAAGACTTTTTACGTTGATGTTAAGAGGATATAACCGATATTCGATATCCAACTCTCTGCATAATCTACCAATCTCTTCAAGTAATTGACCTCTCCTCACATATCTTTCTCCCATATCTTGATGATTCATCTTATGTGTTGGCCACATCGCGATCTTCACACTGTTTAGTCCACACATATCTCTAAACACAATCATCGGCGATGGATGCCAATGATCCTTCTTGTTATCTACATAGCTGCATAAACACACAAAAAAAACAAAAAAATCATATTAGGCAATGTTTTTGAAAGTTTATGATTGAGGGTTTAGGGTTTTAGCTACTAACCTGAGTATCCTCTGTTTCAAGGCGGTTGTCTTTTCAGGTGGAGTTGCTATATGGACAAAGAACTCAATGGCATCTTGCATATCGGGACTGCGGTAATAGTTAGCGATTGGTTTTGTTCCGAGAAGACTGTTCGGATATACAATCTTCTGATTATCAAATCGAAGAAAGACAGTAGTCAAAATGTTCATCTCTTCCACAATCAGCTATACATACAAAAAAAACAAACAGAGGATTAGCTCTTTCTTTTAAGTATTGAGTTAATGTAAAGGCAGAAACAGAGTTTCAAGGGACAAACCTGGACACCGTCTATTTCACACCTGTCACCGACATCAAATGGATGCATAACGAAGACGAAGATGACAGCTTCAAAGATGGTTTTGCATGAGTTTCCAAACACAAAGACTACAAGAAGAAGCTGAGAGCTTATGACAAGCAAGAACTTAGTTGTAGCGATTCCGAGAATGAGAAGCCAGATGATTAAAATCACAATGCTGACGATTACATCGACGATTCGATGAAGCCTGTTCACTGCTGTTTTTGTATCGTTTAATGTTAAAGCTAGTGCTCTTCGTTCTCTAAAAGCATTAACCTAGAGAAAGATTTAAGAACTTAGTCATTGTCATATGTATGTAAGAAAGCTTATGAAAGTTGAATTTAAAACAAACACTTACCACCCAATTCTTCAGACAGGATTTACTGATTTTGTGACTTTCAGAAGCTCCTTCAAAGAGATCCATTGCTCTTTCAGACTCATCTTCAGACAGAAAACGCATAAAGTCCTCCATATATATGTACCTAAAACCAGGAAAAATCCTCTGTTTTTATATTATCTTAACAAACATCAAATCAAAGTTGTTCATAAGATTATAGTATATATACCTGGATCCAGGCTCAGCAACATTCTGAAAAATCTTCCTCGCTGCAAGTTTTGCTTCAAATTCACTTCTTATTTGTGTGGCTTTATCATCTTCTTGAGTCGTCGTGTCTTGTATCTGTTCATCTAAAGTAGAAAGAGTTCCTTTTCTTATAACATTCATCAGTCTTTTCATTTTCCAAGCCGAAACGTTTTTAGTGTTCATTCTCTGCAAATGATCGATCCTTATCCCTTCTTCCTCTCCTTCTTTCTTAGAACCACACCGCGAAAGCACCGGACTTTTCCCAACTCTACTCGGACTCTTCTGCAGCCTTCCGCTTCCAACAGTCACTTGTGGCGAAGAAGAAGCCGCCTTTGGACCTAGAGGAGATAGCTTACGTCCCGCTATCTCGAAGGTCTTTATATCGTTTGCTACTTTCTCCTCTTCTATATGAATCTCAATACGAGGAGGTCCCGAGAGAGTCTCAATCACATATTGAGTAAACAACGATTCTTGAATTCGATCGAAGTAAGTACTCATGTGGAAAGAGGAAGCAAGAACTTTAACCAGTAAAGTCTTTATGAGCCAGATGATAACAGCAACGAGTAAACAAATTAACACTTTAGTCACATACTTCAGCACAGTGCTTCGCATCTCTCTTTCGACTTTCTTGTCGAACAAGAAATGCCACGCGATCAACACAAGCCCTAGCCAAAGACAATTCTGTACGGCCTTTCGAATCCCATAAACGAAATACAAAACCTTTTTCCTCCAAAGAAAATTGCTTTCTACAAAGTAGACGAATAGCTTCACAAACCAACTCGAAACCAATCTCCCACATATCAAGACAAGAACCATCACTTCCCATTTCCATAGAGCTAGGTCCCAAAGTGTCTTGCCACGCAAGTAAGGTATAACAAGGCTACAAATCAAACCAGCAATGATCAGAATCAGAAAAATCCATTCCATAATAACCCAAACACAAAACTTCTCCTTCCTTAAACCTTCCGGTAAATCCTCCTCCGAGAAAGGATCTTCCTCTTCTTCCAAATCCATGGCTCCTCCTTGGTTTGGAGTTCCCGGTTTAGTGTTTCTCCCACTAAAACCGGGTTTTAAATTCCCGGACTTTGGAGTCCGACCAGAAACCATCTCCGGATACGTCGGAGTTGGAGGATCCATCAATCTAGATCTAGTCTTCGTCTTCATCAAAGTCTTAGTCCTCATCGTCGATCTATTCGAGCTACACTTGACAACCTCTGATCCATCTACTCTGTTTTCTTCATCTCCACTACTATCACTATCTTTAACAGACGGAGAAAGCGTGACTCTGTTCTGTCTCCGTCTAATCGCATCACCAGTTCCATTACGATAACTCGCCGTCGCCGTCGCCGTTACTGGTGAAGCAGAGCCGGAAACTGCAGCTGAGGACGGAGGAATCGTGTTGCTTTGAAGCTCAGGCATGTTAGCTTCCATGTCGAGAGAGATTTCATCACCGGAAGCTTTTTGCTTGTTGAGAAATTGATTGATGAGCTTCGACGGTGGATCTGGCTCCTCTGATTTATCACTCCTCCGCCGCATGAAATCAAAACTTCCGTCGTCTTCTTCACCTCCGGGTGGTTTAGAGCTCTTATCATTATGCCAGAAGTTAATGCTTGATTCTCTCCAAAACTTTTCTGAATCACCATTGTCTTCACCGTCGATCTTGACAACAACATCTCGCCGTTGATCATTCGAATCAACGGCCATGTTAGAAAGATTCAAACTTTCTGGTCGTGAAGTAAAACAAAAGTTGGGTTTTTTTGTTTTCTTGAAGTAAAAAGTTTGGTTTTTTTTTTTGTTTTTGAAAGAGGAAAAAGAAAAGTTGATTCTTGATTTTCTACATGTAATGGTGGATGATATTTAAATCTTTTTATTTAGGTTTTTTTTAGGGCTATATTAATGTAAATACATGGTTGACCAAAAAATTAGAAATATAGCCATGATAATTCTTTAATTAAGTAAATAGGAAAGAAAAAAAATAAGACAAACCAAAATCTCCTTCTTTTTCGGATTAATTACAAAAGTACCATTTATTAAAAAAATTGATTTTTTTTCCAGTATATCCATGAGACGGTTCATTCTAACACCGGACGATACTGTTCATCATCGGATACTGTTCATCAACCACCTGCCAACACTGTTTTTCAAAATTGATGACACTATTTATCGCCAGATACTGTAAAACAATTTGTAAGTTACGTAGATAACTATTTTATTTACATGTTAATTATTATAATATCGTGATAAGTTCACATAATATGTGTTACATGCAGAGTTATCGGGTTAAACAAGTTATTATATCATATAAAATATTAATTAGAGTTGTTATTTGTTATTATTAACAATTTCTCTTAAGTAATTAATATACTTAAAAAAATATGATAAACCTATTACATATAATGATAGCGATACCAACAATGTTAACACAATACACATATACTTGTATAGTGTTAAGACATTATACATCAGATAATATTTCTATTAGCGTGTTAAAATATTAATTAATATATAATGATATATTTGGATGCTGATGAGATACCTAAAAAATGAATATGTTGTAATTTGTATACTTATTTATTTATTTAACACGGTAAAATAAAATGTATGTCGATAAATCACCAGTTAGCACAATACATATGGATAACAATATATATATAGCGAGTTATCTATATGTTTAACTTGTTAAATTATACCTTATACATACATTATACAAAATTTTAAAAAGAATTTTTATTGTGACCAAGATCAATCAATGAAACAAGAAAATTTAGTCAGATGATTAATTTAATACAATATTACTTTTGTTAGTCGTTAATTTATGAGTTACCGTATTTCACAATTTCTTCTTTGATTGTGGAATTTGGTTATGGCAGCCACCTTCACAACTCCACTCCAGCCACCACACCTTTTTTGTCTCTGTTTCAGCTCACCACAACAACTGCTCAACCTCTAGTCATACAAGCTTTCTACACCACACTCACACTCACTCACAATCGATAATGCCATCATCACCATCACCACCAATTAAATCATCACCGCCGGTATCACCTCTGTCTCCTCTCCCATCCCACACTATATATCACCGGATAATGTAAATCTATTCACCTTGGTCTTTACGAAATTGAAAACTCTACTCCGTTCTGATTATGTCATATCAAGATCACCGTGATGAACTCTTCGCCGAAACCAAACACTTTGTCGGAGAAATCTGTGATGAAGAGAGAGAAACAAAATGAGAAATCAAAAATTAAAAACAAAGATATTTCAAAAGGATAGTAGAGTAACTTCCTTAACATTAGTACTGTAGAAACAGTTCTCTTTTTTCTCACCTAATTTTGCAATCGTCTGTGGTCTTATATTATAGATATTTTGGGCTATATTAATGTAAATACATGGTTGACCAAAAAATTAGAAATATAGCCATGATAATTCTTTAATTAAGTAAATAGGAAAGAGAAAAAATAAGACAAACCAAAATCTCCTTCTTTTTCGGATTAATTACAAAAGTACCATTTATTAAAAAAATTGATTTTTTTTCCAGTATATCCATGAGACGGTTCATTCTAACACCGGACGATACTGTTCATCATCGGATACTGTTCATCAACCACCTGCCAACACTGTTTTTCAAAATTGATGACACTATTTATCGCCAGATACTGTAAAACAATTTGTAAGTTACGTAGATAACTATTTTATTTACATGTTAATTATTATAATATCGTGATAAGTTCACATAATATGTGTTACATGCAGAGTTATCGGGTTAAACAAGTTATTATATCATATAAAATATTAATTAGAGTTGTTATTTGTTATTATTAACAATTTCTCTTAAGTAATTAATATACTTAAAAAAATATGATAAACCTATTACATATAATGATAGCGATACCAACAATGTTAACACAATACACATATACTTGTATAGTGTTAAGACATTATACATCAGATAATATTTCTATTAGCGTGTTAAAATATTAATTAATATATAATGATATATTTGGATGCTGATGAGATACCTAAAAAATGAATATGTTGTAATTTGTATACTTATTTATTTATTTAACACGGTAAAATAAAATGTATGTCGATAAATCACCAGTTAGCACAATACATATGGATAACAATATATATATAGCGAGTTATCTATATGTTTAACTTGTTAAATTATACCTTATACATACATTATACAAAATTTTAAAAAGAATTTTTATTGTGACCAAGATCAATCAATGAAACAAGAAAATTTAGTCAGATGATTAATTTAATACAATATTACTTTTGTTAGTCGTTAATTTATGAGTTACCGTATTTCACAATTTCTTCTTTGATTGTGGAATTTGGTTATGGCAGCCACCTTCACAACTCCACTCCAGCCACCACACCTTTTTTGTCTCTGTTTCAGCTCACCACAACAACTGCTCAACCTCTAGTCATACAAGCTTTCTACACCACACTCACACTCACTCACAATCGATAATGCCATCATCACCATCACCACCAATTAAATCATCACCGCCGGTATCACCTCTGTCTCCTCTCCCATCCCACACTATATATCACCGGATAATGTAAATCTATTCACCTTGGTCTTTACGAAATTGAAAACTCTACTCCGTTCTGATTATGTCATATCAAGATCACCGTGATGAACTCTTCGCCGAAACCAAACACTTTGTCGGAGAAATCTGTGATGAAGAGAGAGAAACAAAATGAGAAATCAAAAATTAAAAACAAAGATATTTCAAAAGGATAGTAGAGTAACTTCCTTAACATTAGTACTGTAGAAACAGTTCTCTTTTTTCTCACCTAATTTTGCAATCGTCTGTGGTCTTATATTATAGATATTTTGGGCTATATTAATGTAAATACATGGTTGACCAAAAAATTAGAAATATAGCCATGATAATTCTTTAATTAAGTAAATAGGAAAGAGAAAAAATAAGACAAACCAAAATCTCCTTCTTTTTCGGATTAATTACAAAAGTACCATTTATTAAAAAAATTGATTTTTTTTCCAGTATATCCATGAGACGGTTCATTCTAACACCGGACGATACTGTTCATCATCGGATACTGTTCATCAACCACCTGCCAACACTGTTTTTCAAAATTGATGACACTATTTATCGCCAGATACTGTAAAACAATTTGTAAGTTACGTAGATAACTATTTTATTTACATGTTAATTATTATAATATCGTGATAAGTTCACATAATATGTGTTACATGCAGAGTTATCGGGTTAAACAAGTTATTATATCATATAAAATATTAATTAGAGTTGTTATTTGTTATTATTAACAATTTCTCTTAAGTAATTAATATACTTAAAAAAATATGATAAACCTATTACATATAATGATAGCGATACCAACAATGTTAACACAATACACATATACTTGTATAGTGTTAAGACATTATACATCAGATAATATTTCTATTAGCGTGTTAAAATATTAATTAATATATAATGATATATTTGGATGCTGATGAGATACCTAAAAAATGAATATGTTGTAATTTGTATACTTATTTATTTATTTAACACGGTAAAATAAAATGTATGTCGATAAATCACCAGTTAGCACAATACATATGGATAACAATATATATATAGCGAGTTATCTATATGTTTAACTTGTTAAATTATACCTTATACATACATTATACAAAATTTTAAAAAGAATTTTTATTGTGACCAAGATCAATCAATGAAACAAGAAAATTTAGTCAGATGATTAATTTAATACAATATTACTTTTGTTAGTCGTTAATTTATGAGTTACCGTATTTCACAATTTCTTCTTTGATTGTGGAATTTGGTTATGGCAGCCACCTTCACAACTCCACTCCAGCCACCACACCTTTTTTGTCTCTGTTTCAGCTCACCACAACAACTGCTCAACCTCTAGTCATACAAGCTTTCTACACCACACTCACACTCACTCACAATCGATAATGCCATCATCACCATCACCACCAATTAAATCATCACCGCCGGTATCACCTCTGTCTCCTCTCCCATCCCACACTATATATCACCGGATAATGTAAATCTATTCACCTTGGTCTTTACGAAATTGAAAACTCTACTCCGTTCTGATTATGTCATATCAAGATCACCGTGATGAACTCTTCGCCGAAACCAAACACTTTGTCGGAGAAATCTGTGATGAAGAGAGAGAAACAAAATGAGAAATCAAAAATTAAAAACAAAGATATTTCAAAAGGATAGTAGAGTAACTTCCTTAACATTAGTACTGTAGAAACAGTTCTCTTTTTTCTCACCTAATTTTGCAATCGTCTGTGGTCTTATATTATAGATACCCTTTTTTTTATTTTAAATAATGTTGAACCATGTGAGATTGTGATGATCTTGCTAGGGCTAAAAGACAATGTTTCAACCTAGATAAGAAAAAATTAATATTTTTTAGTTTATGTTGTACTGGAAGAAGACGAACATGGAGTCATGGACCAGGTGATATTATCATTTTTCTATTTTCCGCTTCCGAATCATTTAAAAACATTTCACGACTAGCTACTCAGACCAAAACATAGACTCGTGTCTTGCTCTCACTAGCAAACTTAAAAAAAAAAAAAAAAAACTCGATTAAAAGTCAAAAGTAACACAAATGGTGTTGGAACTCGGAAGCTCGAGAATTTTTTTAAAAGAAACAATTTTAAAATTGGTAACCAAAAAATACTATACTATAGAACAAGAAAAAAATGGGGGCCATGTTCACTGTCCAGAAACGAAGCAGTTGAAGAAGTAATAAAAATTGTTGTAACGTTAAGGAATTAATAAATAAACCTATCGGATTGGTGAAATTAGCTTACGTGGTGAGATCTTACGGCGCATAGGTGATAATGAATTAACTTAATGGTATATGAGTCAGACACGTGGTTGGCTAAAGTTTGGTCTGCTTAATAGTTTTTGTTTATGTGAGGCGTATAAACAAATTTTAAAAAGAGACCTAATTGGAAACAAATAGAAAACGACACGAAAATGACACGATTTTTGATAAAAACGGCAGGTTGATTTAGGATACAAAATGCAGTTTAGGTAATGTGTGAACTAGGAGTGTCAAAATGAGCTCGTAACTCATGAGCTGGCTCAGCTCAGCTCGATTTTTCATGAGCACGAGCTCTGTATTTTAGGCTCATTTAATAAATGAGTTATATGATCGAGTTTTTTTAGATCGCGAGTTATATGAGCGAGCTTTAATGAACATGAGCTGGCTCATGAGCTCGGCTTTTTTTACAAATATATATATATATATATATATATTGTAAATATATACAAAATATCAACATAAGCATATATATCTTTTCCATTTAAATTAAACAAAAATAGAATTATTCTATTAGAAAATTTGTGTTTTGAGGTTATTTTTTTCTTGGATTTATTTCCATTATTTAACTTTAGAATTAATTATGTTATTGGATTTATTTTATTTTTTTTTTAAAAAATTACATTATTTTTGTTGTTATATTTATTTGTTATGAGCTCGCGAGCTAGCTCATTTAACTCGCGACCAAGATGATCTGAGTCCGAGTTTATATATTGAAGCTCATCTAATAAATGAGCTGAGCTGAGCTAGCTCATGAAATGTCCGAGCTCATCATGAGTTGAGCCGAGTTGAGCCGAGTTGAGCGAGCTAGCTCATTTTGACACCCCTAGTGTGAACAGAGACACATGGTTCAATAAGAGTGGTCACAGAAGAATTTGTTTTCATATACATCTTGTTATTGTCTAATATAAATATAAAAGTGTTACATAATCATTACTGGCCAGATAAATGAATAAAAATTATTTTCGAATATAAATGCATGAATCAGAAGAAAACAGTTTGATACATGTGACCAAAAAAATAAAATAAAAAGCTGTTTGATTCATGTGTCCATGTGAATGATCTAAAGATTTCCTAGATTTTTTTTTTTGTAAAAGTGGAAAAATGACTTTTTTTAGATATTTTGGAAAAACGGGCCTGATTAAATATCTTATTGGGCTCATTCAGTTTATTGAAATAGCCCAAATTCAAATCTTGTTCTATCTAATGTCCCATATCGCTTATTTTACCAGTTAAACGAGTGTTTATATACCATTAGAGTCGACAAAGCGATTGTCACCTTCACAAAAATTGGAACGATACAGAGAAGATTAGCATGGCCTCTGTGCAAGGATGACACGCTTAATTCGAGAAAGGGTCCAAATTTTTTTTTGAAATTATTTCAGATCGACGGCATACATTGTTTGCAACTCCGATGATCGGCAACCTAATTTCCAAATTTTGTTAACCAAATTTCCGGTACAAATCTAATGTAACCTGATACCGGTTTGGTTTATATGTACTCTTCTAACCAAATTTCCGGTACATTTCCTAAAACCCTTTGCGTCACTCTCTAGAGAAGATCCAGGTGTGAGCTTCAATGGCGCTTATTGATTATCACTGACTCTTCCAAATTTGATTTCGCAAGCTGACTCTCTGAAGCCATGGCGATTCTGCTCAGATCAATTCTCAAAAACGAAACTTTGTTTAAAGCTCTCTCGAAACCTCAGTTTGTCTCGCCTTTGATTGTCTCCAGAAACTTTACATCGGAAGAAGCTCATAAGAAGCCACTCTCTGTTTTCTTCGAAGAGGCTGTTGGATTGAGACCCAAATCAGAAACGAGCGAAATCGAAGAAGAGGGCAACGAATTGAAGAGAAAGCTTTTGGAATTGGAGAGGAAACTCATTGAACTGAAGAAATCGGAACCTGTGAGAAAGAAGAAACAGAAGGGGAGGATTGTGATATCAGAGAAAACAGAGCAAAACGAGAAAAGAAATAATCTTTACAAGTTGTTTAAGGGAGATGAAGAGAAGGAGATGAAGAAACATAGTAGGGAAAAGGAGGACGTGATTAGGGTTTATAAGGAGCTTCCTATAGAGATGGTTTCGTTTGTGAGGCTTTTGCATAAAGAAGGGTATTTGAACAAGGCTAATTTCATCACTGGAGAAAAGTTGGATATGGGGAATCTTGATGAAGAGTATGCTAGAACTTTTGTTAAGTTTGCTGCCGAAAGATTTGGAAAGGATTACCAGGAAATAGCAAAGTATGAATCTTTTTACTTGTATATTGATCATATATCATGTTTGTTTTGTTAGATTGTTCCAAGTTTGGATCATTGATTTGATGCTCCTTAGGCTTCGTTTAGAGAAAATGTATGTGAGTTTGCATTGTAGTATATATGTAACGTTTCTTGGGGAGTATAGGTTGGGGTTGGAAGAGGAGGGGTTCAGTGCTAGTTCTTTAGGAATGAGGAAGCTTTTGTGATGCATTGAATTCTTGTGGTTCGATTGCAGGCTAGTTGTAGCATTGATTGAGAAATTCTGATGTAAGAAGTTGTTAATACATTTGTAGATGTTTCAGATGGAATTATTTGTCCACTGTCGAGTTTTAGAGTCTCTTGTATGGTTGCCATACCCTGCAGCATTTTATTTGCCCTTAGTTAAATTGTTGTTTGGATAATTGATGGATAAAGATTAGGGTTCGCTTAGAGAAATGTTTGTTGAAATGTTCATCTTCATGGGCCTCTGATGAAAAACTTGGGCATGTCCTGGTGAAAACTTCTCAGTACGCAGTTCATTTCTATACAGAGCGACACTGCTTAGAGTTTGCATTGCTGTATGTTTTCTTGGAGAGTATAGTGGAGTTGGGAAAGGAGGGGTTCTGTGCTACTTCTAATGGAATGAGGAATCTTTTGTGATGAATTGATGTCTTTTGTTTTGATCATAGGTTAGTTGTCGCATAGATGCCTCAATCCCTGCAGCATTTTATTCGCCCGTACTGATTGTTGCAGCTAGGCAGTTTGAGATTGATTTGATCATCTTATTGTTTCCACGGCTTTCCATAACCCCAGATTTAACTTACAGGTGGTTATCAGGTAGCGACCTGAAGACGATTGTGCTCTTTGGTTGCCCGAGTTTGGAAAAAAGGGCGGTATTCGCTGCTAAAACATTGCGCAACTTTTTTGATATCCATGAGAATAATGTAAGCTTATATATATACACACACTACACTGTCTTTATCTCATTTTGCAACTCCCCAACTGCATCTAACCAAGTCTTTTTTTTTTTTTTTTTTGCATAATAGGTGTGTGAGAAATGCGTGTTAAAAGAGAAGTGCAAGTTTCCAAACCAGAGTGTATGGGATGGCAAAACAAAGCACTTGCACTTGTCTGTTGTGATGAAAGTCATCACACTATATCCATTGGACTTGACTCATCCGAAGCTACAAGTTCCTCAAGAGGTACAAGACTCAGTCTCAAGATTGCTGACAGAGATTCAGAACCTAAGCCGAACTATCTGTACTCCTCTCGCCTGAGTTAAAACCTTAGCAAAGATTTATTTGTAGTAGACATCAATTTAATGTTCTTACAAAATGGAAGTTGAACCAAAAAAACAAACTTTTATGAAAATGAGCCCTTCACTTCCATTTTTTACTTGCAACAATTGCAACTGATAAGGGTACACATCCGAATACTTGGTGTTTTGACCTTTTTGTGCCGCAATTGATCTCCTTAAGAGTTTAGACTAATCTTTGGTCATTAAAACCCTCTGGCTTAGCTAGAAACTTTGTGGATAAGTATGGAAGGAATGGGTTTTCAGAAGAGACAAAGGCTCACCTGACAAAGAAGCCTATCATCAAGAGCCACAGGCATTGCTATCAAACGTGGCGGTAAGGTGATTGAATTTTTTTGTGCGTCTTTCAAAATCACTTTCTTCACTTTGAAGTTCACTCGCTAGATTCCATAGCATCTCCATACATTAAATTTTTTTGTTAAACTCTCCAAGAAAAAATATATAAATTTCCAACCTTTTTTCGTGGGTCTGAGCTTATCTCTTAAACCCTAGTTTGATTACACTTTGGATATCGTAAAATTGTGGTCTTTTTCGAGTTTCTTGAGATTTGGAGCTACACTCTGCTTAAACCTCTCAAGTGGAGTTGCAAAGTTTAGTCCTTTGATGAATTCTCCGAGTTTGTCTCGCATGTGGATTTGAATACCGAAGAAACAATGTCTGTGGAAAGATCTTTTGAAGCTTGGGAAGAAGTTCAGAGACATGGACAAGACTTAGCTGACAGACTTGCTCAGGGTTTTAACGGTTTGGTTCAAATCAACCCACCTTCATTTCCATGGCCAAATCATCATAATTCGAAGCTATTCGATCTTGAGTTCTCAGGTCAGCATTTCGGGATTAAGGATTCTAAGTTTTCCATCCACCAACCCATCGATGGCGTTTCGGCTATTCTTGATATTGGGAACAAGATTGGTCAAGCTGGTGTTGATTTTGGCGCTGGATTGAATGTGATGGTTCAGCAATTCTTCAGAAGGTTACCTGTACCGTTCCGACATGACGAGAACCCGTCTGTTTTTACTGAGAGAGATACTGTCAGGAGGAGCCATAAGGCTTATGTTGACACAAAAGAGGACTCAAGGCTTTCTAAGACAGATACTGCTTCCTCTGTTACTGTGTCTGAGGAGAAAGTTACAGAATTCGATTTAAGGACTATTGGATTACATAGGAGACCAAAGGTACTTGTTCAAGTTCTGCAATTTCATGTTTCTGACTGATTAAATTGGTCTTAACTCTGTATATAACTGCAGATGTATCTTAGAGATTTCTTAGAATTTAGGAGATTTCTTAGAGATTGAGTATGAGCATATGGCATATGCAAAGTTTTGGAATTTAGATGCTTGTTGATTACTATCTTGCGAAAATAGGATTTTTTAAGGCTATGGCTTTTGTCAATTAGAATCTGGAAGAAACTATTGATGTTTTGAATCAAGTTTAGTGGAGTTCCTGCCAAGAGTGAAATTTGTTTACAGATTACAGTTTCTGCTCCTTGTAGGGAACGGTTGAGCTATCATCAAGTTATGAAAGTAGAACAAGTGATATGGAACATTCGTTAGCAGCCAGGGGAGATCTTTGGAGAGTAGAAGCTTCTACTTCAAGTTCCCCTGCAAGAGATGATAGCTCATCTCTCTTTCTACTCCAGCTCGGACCTCTGCTATTTCTGCGCGATTCAACTCTTCTTTTACCTGTTCATTTATCAAAGCAACACATACTCTGGTACGGGTATGATAGAAAGGTATGCTCAAAGCTTCAACACTTGTGTTGGTCTTCGCATCTCGAGTTCTTGCTTATTGTTTCAAAACTCGGGTAATCCTCATATGGTAATCTCTTTTCAGAAAGGTATGCATTCACTGTGTCCAGCTTTGTGGTCAAAGCATCGAAGATGGCTTATGATGTCAATGCTCTGCCTCAATCCTTTAGATTGCGTAAGTGTCTTTACTTTAAATCTTTCTATGTGCGTTTGTTTGCCTTTCTATATTCTTACATAGTGAACTAATGCTCGAAGCTTTGTCTTTTTCCTGCACATGAAACAGTCATTTGTAGACTTGCAGTTCCCAAATGGACAATTAACATATGTATCTGGTGAGGGAGTGACGACTAGTGTCTTTGTTCCTTTATGCGGCGGTCTTCTTCAAGCGCAAGGTCAATATCCAGGGGAGATGAGATTTAGTTTCTCTTGCAAGGTTGGTTAATAATTGATCAAGTATAGTCACATTTTTTATATTCAAGAGCTTGAAAAACTGTTTTTCAACTTTGATGAAACAGAGTAAACAGGGAACACGAATCACACCAATGGTAAATTGGCCTGACAAATCATTCGCATTGGGTGTTTCTCAAGCCTTGGCTTGGCGTAGGTCCGGTCTCATGTTGAAACCTGCAATTCAACTTAGGTAAATTAAAAACCTGCCTTTCTTTTTTACATTCAAAATTCTTTTTGTTTTTAACTTGCAAACATGGAAACAGCGTGTGCTCTACATTTGGTGGAAGCAATCCCGGGATTAAAACCGAAGTTATTCACTCGTTGAATGATCACATCAATATGATATGTGGCTGCGCATTCACAGCTCATCCTTCAGCATTTGCATCTGTTTCAGTAAGCTAATCTTTCTTTCTTTTTTTCTCCAACCGAAACCCATTTCGTTTGTTATTGGCTCTGATTTCGGTTTTTCTCTAAAACCGCAGCTTGGCCGGTCCAAGTGGAATGGGAACATTGGACGAACAGGAATAGTTGTTAGAGCTGATACTCCTCTTCCAAATGTTGCTCGACCTTCTTTCTCCATTCAGATTAACAATGCTTTCGAGTTCTGAAAATAAGTAAGGGCAAGTTTTTGGTTTGTGTAGTCTCGTCAAAAGGCTGAACTGTATATAGTAAATCAAACTCGTCAATCCAACAGAGAGATTTAACAACATAATAACAAAACCTGAAAAGAATTCGTCTTGCAACATTCAATTGTGAAAGTTGTAGATTAAATCAAGAAAAAAAAAGCAAATTTGATTGATATGTTGGTAAATACTGTTGTGTTTGTAGATTGAATAAAAGAATATATACTATTCATTACTCAATCTCCACATCGGTAAGATCATCTAACAGTCTCCTCGACGAAGATGATGAATTTCCTTCTTCTTCTTGCTGTTGTAGGCTAACATCTTTGCTAGGCTCAGAGAAGGAAGAATCAACCCATGGACCGTCCATCGATGAGGAGCTTTTGTGTTCTCTGTTCCTTGTATAGGTCGAAACTTGTGACTCGCTATCTTGTGACAAAACCTCGAAGGCCTTAAACCTCATTGCAGCTGAACCACTTGGATCAGCTTCACGTTTCACCAGTGGTGGTTGGACTTTGATTTTTCCTTCCAACATTCTTACGACAGATGACATTGGTGGTCTCAATGTCGGAGATGGGTTCGTGCAAAGTAAAGCTATGTTCAACATCCTCATAGCTTCTTTCTTCGAAAAGCTTGTACCTAGATCTGGATCCACGAGTTCTAGAAGACTCCCTTGTTCTTGCAAGACATATGCCCAATCAAGAAGGTAAATAAATTCTTCTTTTGGTCTGTAATTTGTGTTGCTCTTTCCGCTAACAATCTCTAAACAGACAACACCGAAGCTGTAAACATCTGCTTTGTCTGTTAAGTAACCTCTCATTGCATACTCAGGAGCCATGTAACCTCTGCATCGATGAAATATAAAGTCAGTAAGTGTTAACCATTCACGATGAATATTACAAAAGATAAGTTCATACTCACATTGTTCCTGCAATCCTTGTGCTAATATGTGTATTCTCTTCTTCGTCGAGTTTAGCTAGACCAAAATCAGAGATCTTAGCATTTAGAGACTGATCAAGAAGCACATTCGTCGCTTTTATGTCTCTATGAACAATCTTCAGCCTTGATTCCTCGTGTAGATAAGCCAATCCTTTCGCAATCCCTAAGCATATCTTGTTCCTTGTTGACCAATCCAAGTGAAGTCTCTGTTTCTCTGTGCCTGTTAAATAACCCCAGAGACCTTAGCTTAAAGATCAAGAACTTCGACCAATGTTTCTCAGATGAATAAAAAACTAACCAAAGAGTGCGCGAGCGAGACTGTTGTTCTCTAAGTACTCATACACGAGCAAAAGCTCTTTCCCTTCAATGCAACAACCATAAAGCTTCACAAGATTAGGGTGTTGCAATGCAGAGATCATCCCGATCTCAGTCACAAATTCTCTGTTTCCTTGCTTAGATTTTGATGAAAGCTGCTTCACCGCGATGGTCATTCCATCAGCGAGAACACCCTAATAACCAAAACCCATCAATACCTACAATCCTATCTCACAGAACTTGTGAAGATGTAAAACCAAAGCAAGCATCACCTTATAAACCGGTCCAAATCCTCCTTCGCCAATCTTGTTTTCTGGATCAAAATTGTTAGTCGCACGTTTGATTTGTTTCAATGTAAATGATCCTGTCTGCAAATCAAGTCCCCGAAGCTCTTCTGATAAATAAAAAGTAAGAATTTTGAAACAATCAGATCTTGAAAATGACAAAGAGCATTTCTTGAACAATAGAATGATGTTTTATTTCGTACCATTTTCATCCACTTCTTTTCCACCTAAGTAACCTGTAAGCCAGAGGATTACAAGTACCAGCAACCCGAAAGCCGCACACGCTGCGATTACGATGCCTGCAACTGCTTTATTGGACAATGGTTTTCCGGTATCAACCTTGAAATCTACAACAAGAGGCAATAAAACAGAGAAAGAACATTTCATTCATTTCCTCACTCCAAAATTATTTTAAACAGTTGAGAAAGATTGGAAAGAAAACTCACTCGGTGTGATTGTTATAGCGGATATGAGAGGCCCGTAAACACCTCGTGTTGGTATTACGTTTGTGCCTTTCCCTAACCACTTCAAATGAATCTCCAGCGTACTTCCATTCACTTGAACATCATCAATTTGTCTTAGGAACGGTTTACCAACTCCACCTGCTCTCTCTGCTATGTTAAAGTCCCTCTCCAACAAAATCCCCTGCAAAAAATTAACAGTGATATAGGAAAACTGAAATTGTGTGTCTGAAAAAAAAAAAACTTTCTTCTTTGTTCTGCAAAACTCACTTGAACATAAATGTCGAATACTCGTCGCCCTAAGCTACTATAAGTCTGGTCGTTCGAGAACATAATCTCTGCAAAATGGAGCTGCACTTTGTAACTTCCTCTTCTCATGCATAATCCATAGTACTTGAGTGATTGTGAAGCGAGACGGGCCGTTTTGTAATACTCTGGAGTTGATTCATTGATCAAGTTAAATGTGTCTGTTGCCAAGTAGGGGGCACTGTCTTTGCCTAACCAAGCTCCAGAACTGCTGTATCCCCATCTTTCAGAGACAGAAGAGAATGTTGATGCTCCTCTTTTGTTTAAGTCATCCACATACTCGTCTTTATCAACCTTGAGTCGGTTTCCTCCACAGTTGATGAACAAGGAAGAATCTGCAAGAAACGTATTCAGGGATTTTTTTTTTGTTTCTAGAAAAGTTTTGAATCTTGAGGGTAACTTGGAATGTTCCACTTACGGTGTGCGTCTCCAGGACACGGAAGATCCTTTCTCAAGCACCATTGAACACTACACAAGTAGATATTATTTCTTTGTAAGTATCTTTGGTTTTACCGGTTTTATGAACCGAAAGGAGGGGAAACAGAAGACTCACGAGTTATCGGTTGCTGATGGGTAGCTGGAGATCAAGTTCCTATAAATTTAACCAATAATGCTGATAAGAAAAAACATACAAGATTAAGCTGAAAATCACTGATATGAAAAAACAAGGAATGCTTACACATCAAGCTGATTACAGCTTAAAGTAGGTGGCTGAGTGAAATTGTTGTAAGATAAATCGCTGAAAACGGATCAAGAAAATTAATGACCTTGATGCATACCAAATTTTCAACCTCGAGGTAGTTAGTTAGTAATTTGCTTACATGTTTTGTTTACTATCTAGAATGAACTGAGGAACTGGACCAGTCAACGAGTTATTATTAAGATACCTAAAGAAGCAAGAAAAGAATCAGTCTTCAAGTCACGGTCAATACTCAATAGTATCTATATTGATACAATGAAACTTACATAAAATTGAATGCGGTCAGACTCCGAAATGTGTCTGGAATTGTACCATTTAACATGTTTGAGCTTAAATCTCTGCACATACATATAAACATGTGAGAACTTGTTCAAAATTTAGCCTTTAAGCAGTAAGAACTAGCAAGAGAATTTGACTTACAGTAACTTCAGATTGCTCATGGAAGTACCGATGTATTCCGGTATAGGTTCCCTTATCAAACAATTTCTTAGTACCCTGATGGAAGTTATAACGCAAAGAAGATATTCAAATGTTGTTTGATGAAACAGAGTTTCTTTAACTTTTAGTCAAAGTTAAAAACTTACAATCGTTCCATATTCGTCATATTTTGCAGGTCTGGAAAAGAAGAGGTTGGTCCACGCAAATCTGTTATCCTCCTGATAAAAAGAGAAATTTCTTAAGCTCAAAAGTTTGGCAAAAATGTTACTGTTAACTACTCTTTGCTTACAATTCAGTCAGGTTTTTCAAGTTTGATATCGAAGCCGGTATTGGACCTTCCATTGATGTGCCTTGGAGGTCACTGCAAATTAACAACAATTCAGTATTACTACAAAATTTTTTCTTGAGAAGAAGTAAGCTGGAAAATGATGGTTACTCACAGTCTACCGAGCCGAGTCCAGTTTCCGATAAAATCAGGTATCTTCCCAGATAGAGAGTTTCCATCAATCCGACTGCAAGAAACAAATGAAGCCTTTAGAATCATTCCAAATAATCAACATATTGTTGAATTTTTCATAGTACCTCCTCTACTTACAAATCAGTCAAATTCTTGAGATTGCTTAAGGACTCAGGGATCCGACCCGTGATGTTGTTTGAAGAAATTAACCTGTAATCATAAATAAACCAAATCACTAAGAAAAACTACAATAACAATATATAGTAAAGGATCTTACAATCTTTTCAAGCTTCGTAAGTTCCCTAGGTTTGAAGGAAGTTGTCCTGTGAATAAATTAGTTTCCAAATTCCTGCAATTTGTTTCTTACATATTAGAATCTCGTCAATTCTGGTTTGAAGAAAAGAAGATTAGATATGTAACATTACACATCAGTAAGTGTAGTAATCTCTCCGAGTTGAGGAGGAAATGGTCCAGAGAGACGGTTTCCGGTTACAGCCCTGTTAGTTTCAGAAAACAGAAAAAACGCAAGAATCAGTACAACTTCATCATCATCACAAGAAACATAGATTGGAGAGAATAGTTACAAGATTTCAAGCGGAATTTGAGACAATGTCGTAGGTATTGTCCCACTGAGAAAGTTCAACCCAAGATCTCTGTGAGAAAAAAAAAACACAAACAAAGATTGCTTAAGCCCCAAGCCTCAGACATTTTGCTATGATCCATTGACAGACAATGAAGAAACAAAGTTCCTTGGATGAAAAAAGGTTCTTACATCTCTGTAAGACGCGTGAGGTTCCCGAATTCAGGCGGGAAAATTCCTCGCAAATTGAAACGTCTAAGCTGTCTGTTGATGAAAATAAATAAAAGAAAGAAATTTCAGAGCCCTAACTTTGTTTCTTGTTACGAAAGTTACAGAGATGATCGTTTCTTTTACATACATTTTTGTGACACGACAGACTGAGCTGGCGTTGAAAGTACAGTCGCAGGTGATGTTTCTGGTTACTGAGTTGGGCGATGAACCGGCAACAAAGTTCCAGTTTCTGTCCGAACAAGAAGTTCTTTCGATGTTCACTGTTTGGTTTTGCAGCTTTCTAAAAATCGTTCGCAGTGTTTGAACTGTGCAAAAGTGATCAAACATTTTGTCGGTTGAGATTTAATATAAAAACTTTGATATAATAAATGAGGACAGTCCAATTAATTAATTAATAAGAATGAGTGATAAATACTACAGTATACTCTACAATATCTCTGTCTCTCTCACCAAAAAAAAAAAAACAAATATCTCTGTCTCAAGTCTCATCAACATCTCTACTGATCTTTTAAAGTAAACACTTTGACCCACTTGCACATGTATTGAAATACAATTATTAATAAACACACGGGCTCTGATTGGTGGTATCTACGTACATTTACCACCAATCATCAAAATAGTACAAAAAGCATTAATTTTAGTTTTTCTTTTTCTTTCTTTTGTATTGGATTCTCTTACTACTAGTCCTTGTTTGAAAAATCGCTAGGCGCTAGTCGGGCATTCGGTATGGGCCTAGCGATTAATCGGAAAATCGGATTAAAATCGGGGATTAATCGGAGACTAGTTTTAGGGTTATTTTAATATTTTAAAAATATATTAATTTAATATTGTTTTCAAAATTACAGTAAACATATAATAATATATTTTAAGGCAAATTTTTATGATTTTTTATTAAAAATTATGATTTTTATTAAAATTTGAACATAAATTATTGTAAAATATCACAAACTTCCAATTCAAATGTTTGAATTAAAAAAAAAAGTTGTTTTATACTTGCAATCAAAAAATAATCGGGATATGTAAGAATAGGCGGAAAATAATCGGATTAGGCGGGAATTAATCAGATAAAGCTGAGAGTAATCGGGTGACTGATTTTTTTAAGGGATTAGTCATTAATCGAAGCGGAGAGGATGGGCCTAACGATTAAGCGGGGAGTAATCGGGGTAGGCGGGGATTTTTAGAACAGGGCTACTAGTACTTCTTATCACTTTTGTTTATTTTGATAATAATTACTATCGACTTTTGATAATAATAAAACTGTACCGTTTTGTGTTACTAATCAAATTCCTTATTTTTTTTAAAAAAAATTATATAATATCTAAATGTGTAAATTATGTATGATATATTAAAATGAACAAATCTTTAAATAAGTTAAGCATTTAAAAATCGACCTACAATATATAGATAATTTTATGGATCTTATGATAATTTTATTGTTTAACTCTTAAAAAATAATCCATGATTCATGAAGACCAATACCATTCAATAATTATATTGACGACCAATATTGTATCCGCAGCAAATATATAATTTTTTTTAATAACAATATAACTGTAAAAAAGGATAACTTTCTTTCGATTAAGTTTTTTTTATCAAGAAGGAAGCATAGAATTATTATTGTTAGAAATTTAAGTAAAATTGAAGAAATTTAATTGCAATGTAAATAAAAAAAAAGGTGATACGAACCTTCATCTTCTGGCAAAAATTGAGCATTTGATCCGAAAATATCCAAGCCAATGAAGATGAGAAGAAGAACTTTCTCCGTCGAGAAAAAGAACCCCATTTTTTTTCTCGAAAACAAAACAAACAGACTCTCAAAGAGAAAAAAAAAGAGACCAAACGATTGAGAAGAGAGAGAGAGGAAGAGACTGAGGGAGAAAGAGGAAAGAAGAAAGAAGGTGATGGTGATTTTACCAAAAAAAAAAAAAAAAAAAAAAAAAAAAAAAGGTGATGGTGATGGGAACAAGCTTTTAGTGTTCATATATATTATCTATATGTAAAATATTAACAATTTCTCATAAATATGTTTTTTTAATATCTAGCCGCCGAGCATGAATAATTTATGTGGGGTTTTTTTTTTTTTTTTTTTTTCACTAAAAGATTGATATATATTTCATGATTACGAGCAATCATACAAAAATGGGTAACGGATCAAAGACAATCATTGTAGATCAACCCCAATGAGTATTACACTAAGCAATACTATTTTCTTTTTCAAAAAGATGTTTTAACCATAGAGGAAACCCGGTTGCTACGTACGATTGGCGGCGATCCTCTTTTGTTACACTTCTGACTATTAGATGGGCTCCAAGATTTGAGCTCCTTTCTTCACCAACCAGTTTCCAAACCAAAAAATTCCTTAAGAGATCAGTCAAAAGAATGCCCTGAAACTTAAAAGAGGGCCAGGCAGGTGGTCTTAAAACAGCACCTATGAGTTCCTTGTCCTCAGAACCAAAAATTATCTTGTCAACATTTAGGCTTTTCATACTCTCCAAAGCCCATTGCCAACAAACAATGCTAGCGTCGAGTTTGCTATTCACCTCTGCAAAGGACCTTCTAGCATGAGACAGCACATCTCCAAACTCATTTCTAAGAACCCACGCAGCTCCTCCAATTCTTCCAGTTCTGTCCCATGATGATCCAACATTACATTTTAACCAATCATGAGGAGGAGGAGCCCATTTCACTTTAACAGGAGCCGGAACAGGCTGCTCCAACAAGCTCTCTCTGTTCTCAAGCATTTGAGCATAAAACCATTGATTAGCATCTTCTTTAATCTTAGCAACCGTTTCAGTAATCACAAACCTTCTTCCTTCAAAGAAAAACCGGTTCCTATTTTTCCAAAGCTGCCACAAAATCCATGGAAAAGATCTTCTAGTCTCCAAAGGAATCAGATTATTTTTGGCAGATACAAAGAGATAGAAGAAGTTGTGGTAAAGTGAATGAGAGTCAAAACCTTTAGCAGGAAAGGGAAAGTTTGACATAGCCCAAGTCTGTCTTGCTACCGTACAGTTAAATAACACATGATTTGAAGATTCACCTTCATGCCCGCAGCTCTGACATCTTGAGTCCACTTTAAGTCCACGACTCATCATTTTATCAACCACAGGGACAGCACCACTAATAACTTTCCACATGAAGTTCCTGATTTTAGTGGGAGTGAGACTTTTCCAGATTAAGTCTTTAATCGGTTGGATGGAAGGCTGCATTTATGTGGGGTTTATCGACTGCTTCCTAATCTTATCATGTTAAATAATCAAATACCATTTTTTGCATGAATTTTTGGTAAATACTATCAGCACAAATGGTAGTTTCCAAGGTGTTGACACCCCATTTCTGAGTTCGAATCTCCAACATGACACTTTTTCTTCTTTTTTTTCCATTTAGCCTCAAATACATATTTTTTTGTCTTACATTTATTTATTTTCTCTTAAAAAATCACAGCAATTAAAAAACATTTTTTAATTGCTTATGAAAATGATTTTCTTTTTGTGGGTTTGTATAATATTCTAATAAAATTAGTTGTATAATATTGTTTTAAAAAAATTTGACCCAAATAAAATTTATTCCTGGGTCCGCCAATACAAATACGTCAAAGTTTAGAAAACATAATGGTAGGATGGCTTTTTGACAGGTTTTTTTCCGTTAAAAAAGGGCAGTTTTTTAAAATATCATATTTAAGTTTTGGTTTTTTAAAAACATTTTTTAAGTTTTGATTTTTTTTAAATCACCACCAAACTAAAATTTATTTTCAACATTTAAAATTAAACTTTACATTAAATCTTATTTCTTAAAAGCCAGTATTTTAAAAAGCAGTCTAGGCGCTCATGTAACACCTAGACAATCGATTCGACCAGCTAAAAATCGCATAAATTTTGTTTTAGTGTAGTTTTTCAATTTTCAACTACATAAATTTAAATTATAAGTTTTAGCTCCATATATATTGTTTGATATGAATTAAATAAATGTTTTTGTCTAATTTTTGTTTACGATTTAAGATTTTTATTTTCTAATAGATAGTTTTATTTTATCTATAATATCATATTTATAATGTGTTATGCTGTAAACGCCTAAACCGTCTAAAATCGTCTAAACCCGATTAAACGTTCTAAGCGCCAGGTGTTGGGTCACCATCCGCTTAGCACCTAACGCATTCTTGAACATTGCTAAAAACTATACCCTACATCTAAAATACTCAACCCAAATCTAAAAATTTAAATTCTCAACTCTTAAAAATTAATTTTTGTACTTGTGGTATTTTTGGAAAACCAAAACTTTTTGATAGTATTTTTGGAACATCAAACTAATAGTGGTATTTTTGGCAACCAAACTTGAAAATACCATAGTTCGAAAAATAATTCCGAACAAAAATATAGCGAAAATGTGAAAAAAAAAAAAATTGGTTTGGGTAGTCTCTTTAATCTTTTGCCCAACATAGAAATTTCACAGCTGTAACAATAAAGCCTAGAAAGAATTCTCTTATTGCCAACAAGTAAATTGTATAGATTAAACCAATTTAATTGGTATGTTGGTATATATTTAGAGCTGTCAAATGGGCGGGCCGCCCATGGGCTTGCCCAGTCCAAATGCAGATGGGCGGGTATATTTAATATATTGTTGTTTAAGTAGATTGAATAAAAGAATCTGAAAGATATACAATTCATTACTCAATCTTCACATCGGTAAGATCATCTAAAAGTTTCCTCGACGAAGATGATGAACGTCCTTCTTCTTGCTGTTGCAGGCTAACATCTTTGCTAGGCTCAGAGAAGGAAGAATCAACCCAAGGACCGTCCATTGATGATGAGCTTATGTGTTGCTCTCTGCTTCTTGCAAATGTCGAGACTTGTGACTCGCTGTCTTGTGACAAAAGCTCAAAGGCCTTAAACCTCATTGCAGCTGAACCACTTGGATCAGCTTCACGTTTCACCAATGGTGGTTGGACTTTGATTTTTCCTTCTAGCATACTTACAACAGATGACATTGGTGGTCTCAATGTTGGAGATGGGTTCGTGCATAATAAAGCTATGTTCAACATCCTCATCGCTTCTTTCTTCGAAAAGCTTGTACCGAGATCTGGATCAACGAGTTCTAGAAGACTCCCTTGTTCTTGCAAGACATATGCCCAATCAAGAAGGTAAACAAACTCTTCTTTTGGTCTGTAATTTGTGTTGCTCTTTCCGCTAACAATCTCTAAACAGACAACACCGAAGCTATAAACATCTGCTTTGTCTGTTAGGTAACCTCTCATTGCATACTCAGGAGCCATGTAACCTCTGCATCAATGAAATATAAAGTCGGTACGTATTAACCGCTCGCTAAGAATTTTAGAAAAGATAAGTAAGGAACACTCACATTGTTCCTGCAATCCTTGTGCTGATATGTGTATTCTCGTCATCATTGAGTTTAGCTAGACCAAAATCAGAGATCTTAGCGTTTAGAGACAGATCAAGAAGCACATTCGTCGCTTTTATGTCTCTATGAACAATCTTCAGCCTTGATTCCTCGTGTAGATAAGCCAATCCTTTCGCAATCCCTAAGCATATTTTGTTCCTTGTTGACCAATCCAAGTGAAGTCTCTGTTTCTCTGTGCCTGTTAAATAACCCACAAGAGACTTTAGCTTAGAAATCAAGAACTTCAATCTATCTTTCTCAGATGAATAAAAAACTAACCAAAGAGTGCGCGAGCGAGACTGTTGTTCTCTAAGTACTCATACACAAGCAAAAGCTCTTTCCCTTCGATGCAACAACCATAAAGCTTCACAAGATTAGGGTGTTGCAACGCAGATATCATCCCGATCTCAGTCACAAATTCTCTGTTTCCTTGTTTAGATTTTGATGACAGCTGCTTCACCGCGATGGTCATTCCATCAGCGAGAACACCCTAATAACCAAAACCCATCAATACTTTATAATCCAATCTCACTAACTTATGAAGATGTAAAACCAAAGCAATCATCACCTTATAAACCGGTCCAAATCCTCCTTCACCAATCTTGTTTTCTGGATCAAAGTTATTAGTAGCACGTTTGATTTGTTTTAGTGTGAACGATCCTGTCTGCAAATCAAGTCCCCGAAGCTCTTCTGATAAAACAAAAAGTAAGATTTTGAAACAATCAGATCTTGAAAATGACAAAGAGCATTTCTTGAACAAGAGAATGATGTTTTCTTTCGTACCATTTTCATCCACTTCTTTTCCACCTAAGTAACCTGTAAGCCTGAGGATTATAAGTACCAGAACCCCGAAAACCGCACACGCTGCGATTACAATGCCTGCAACTGCTCCATTGGACAATGGTTTTCCTGTATCAACCTTGAAATCTACAACAACAGGCAATGAGACAGAGAGAACGTTCACTTACTCACCCCAAAATCGGTTTAAATAGTTGAGAAAGATTGGAAAGAAAACTTACTTGGTGTAATGGTTACAGCGGATATGAGAGGACCGTAAACACCTCGTGTTGGTATTATGTTTGTTCCTTTTCCTGTCCATTTCAAATGAATCTCCAGAGTACTTCCATTCACTTGAACTTCATCAATTTGCCGTATGAATGGTTTACCAACTCCACCTGCTCTCTCTGCTATGTTAAAGTCCCTCTCCAACAAATTCCCCTGCAGAAGATATTGAAATTTAACATACTGATCCAAGAAGACTGAAACTTTGTTTCTTTGTTCTGCAAAACTCACTTGGACATAAATGTCGAATAGTCGCCGCCCTAAGCTATTAAAAGTCTGGTCATTTGAGAACATTATCTCTGCAAAATGGAGCTGCACTTTGTAACTTCCTCTTCTCATGCATAGTCCATAGTACTTGAGTGACTGTGGAGAGAGACGGGCTGTTTTGTAATACTCTGGAGTTGATTCATTGATCAAGTTAAATCTGTCGTCTGTTGCTAAGTAGCCGGCCTTCTCATCGCCTAGCCAAACTCCAGAACTGCTGTATCCCCATCTTTCAGAGACAGAAGAAAATGTTGATTGTCCTCTACTGTTCAAGTCATCTGTATAAGTGTCTTTTTCAATTTTGAGTCTGCTTCCTCCACAATTGATGAACAGGAAAGACTCTGCGAGAACCCGAGGATCAAAAATGTAAATGGTTAGGGTTTCTTTCTAGAATAGTTTGGATATCTAAGATGGACACTCACGTTTAGCATCTTCTGGACATGGAAGATCCTCTCTCAAGCACCATTGAACACTACACAAGTAGAGATTTTTCCATTGTAAGTATCCTGGTCTTGCGGGTTTTATGAACCGAAAGGAGGGAAAACAAAAGGAGACTCACGAGTTATCGGTTACTGACGGGTAGCTGGAGATCAAGTTTCTGAAAGTTTTAACCAATAAAGATGATAAGAAAAGCATATAGACAAGGTTAAGTTGAAACATCACTGATATAACATAACAAGGATGCTTACACATCAAGCTGATTACAGCTTAGAGTAGGTGGCTGAGTGAAATTGTTGTCAGATAAATCACTGAAAACAGATCAAGAAAATTAATGCCCCGATAATGTTATACCGAATATTCAACCTCGAGGTAGTTAGTTAGTTTGCTTACAGATTTTCTTTACTGTTGATGATGAACTGAGGAACTGTACCAGTCAATGAGTTATTATTCAGAAACCTAAAGCCGCAAAATAACAATCAGTTTTTCGAGTAACGGGTTAATATCATCTATGCTGATAATTTGAAACTTACATAAAATTGAATGCGGTCAGACTTCGAAATGTGTCTGGAATTGTACCATTTAGCATGTTTGAGCTTAAATCTCTGAACATACACATACTTTAATGTGAGATCTTGATCAAATCATTAGCCTTTAAGCAGTAGAATTAGCAAGAGAGTTTGACTTACAGTGTCTTAAGATTACTCATGGAACCAATGTATTCCGGGATAGGTCCTCTTATCAAACAATTTCTTAGTACCCTAGTGAAGTTAGCAGATTGTTAAATATTGTTAGATGAAACATATAGTGTATAACTCGAGTCAATGTTAAACTTACAATCGTTCCATATTCATTATATTTCGCAGGTCCGGAAAAGAAGAGGCCGCCTGTCCACGCAAATCTGTTATCCTCCTGATAAAACAGAGCTTTTTCAAGGTCAAGAATTTGGACGAGCAGCAAAAAATAGTATTGTTAAACTGATTTCTTACTTACAATTCAGTCAAGTTCTTCAAGTTTGATATTGAAGCTGGAATTGGACCTTCCATTGATGTGCCTTGAAGGTGTCTGCAGATTAACAATTTAGTCACTACAACTTTCAGTTTTTTTGAGAAAAAGTGATCTGAGAAATGATGGTTACTCACAGCCTATCGAGCCGAGTCCAGTTTCCGAAAAAATCAGGTATCTTCCCAGAGAGAGAGTTTCCATCAATCCGACTGCAAGAAACATATGAACCTTTTATGAACATTCCAAGGAACAACATTGTTGAAATCTCACTGTATATCTACTTACAAATCAGTCAAGTTCTTGAGATTGCTTAAGGACTCAGGGATTTGACCCGTAAAGTTGTTTGCAGAAAGAAGCCTGTAAGACCAAATCACTGAGTAAAGCTGCAATAACAATATATAAGACAAAACAAAGTATGTAATAAAGGATCTTACAATCTTTTCAAGCTTCTTAAGTTCCCTAGGTTTGAAGGAAGTGGTCCTGTGAATAAATTAGTTTCCAAATTCCTGCAATTTGTTTCTTACATATTAGAATCTCGTCAATTCTGGTTTGAAGAAAAGAAGATTAGATATGTAACATTACACATCAGTAAGTGTAGTAATCTCTCCTAGTTGAGGAGGAAATGGTCCAGAGAGACGGTTTCCGGTGACAGACCTGTTAGTTTCAGAAAACAAAAAAAACACAAGAATCAGTAAAACTCTGTTTTCATCACAAGGAAAAGAAGAGTATATGTATTGCAGAGAATGGTTACAAGATTTCAAGCGGAATTTGAGACAATGTCGCAGGTATTGTTCCATTGAGAAAGTTCCGCGAAAGGTCTCTGTAAGAAAACAAAACAAAGATTGCTTAAGTTCCAAGTCTCAGACATTTTTGCTATGATCCATTGTCAGAAAGTCAAGAATGAAAGTGCATACATCTCTTGAAGACGCGTGAGGTTTCCGAACTCAGGCGGGAAAATGCCGGGCAAGCTGAAACTTTTAAGCTGTCTGTTGATGAAAATCAAGAAGTAAAGAAACTTTTTTTCAGAACCCTAACTTTGTTTCTTGTTCGGAAAGTTACAGAGATGAGAAGTTTCTTTTACTAACATGCGTGTGACACGACAGACTGAGCTGGCGTTAAAAGTACAGTCGCAGGTGATGTTACTGCTTGGTGGGTTGGGTGCTGAGCTGCCAGTGAAGTTCCAGTTTCCGTCCGAACAAGAAGTCCTTTCGATGTTCACTGTTTGGTTTTGCAGCTTTCTAAAGATCGTTCGCAATGTTTGAACTATGCAAAAATGGTCAAACATTTAAAGTCAAACTTTCGTATAAATGAGGAAAGTCCAATATAATAAGATCTCAAATCTCAACGTCTCTCTCATTGACCCAACTTGCACATATTGAAATAAAATTAGTTGTTTATTAACACATCCTTGAGAAAAATTATACATTATCCAAATGGGTAAAGTATGTATACTAATCCTTCTGTTTCGTTTTAGTTTTCTTTTAAGGTTTTCTCAAACAAATTAAGAAAACTATTAAATTTTCTGTTTTATTTTTTATTAATATATTTTATAAAAAAAATTTTATTGGTCAAAACATTAAAACAGTAGGGATAAAACTAGAATTTTCACTAAACATTTGCATTAAAAACATAAAACGACAACTATTATAAAACAAAATTTAAGTCCTAAAATGATAACTAAACTAAAACGGAAGGAGTATATTATTGGGAAAACGGCCTTTTTCAACCTCAACTATTTGTTGGCGGGTTTTTCCAACCCAAACTATAACCCCCAGCCGATTTCAACCCAAACCCAAAAATAATTCAAAATCAAAACCTAAACTAATGTAAATGAGCCGATTTCAACACGATGTGAAACAATGTTAGTTCGGAAGTTAACAGTTTTCAAGGTTATTTGATTTTATTTTCAAGGTTTGATGAATGCTGTAGAGAGAGAATTACCCAAGGTTGAGCAACCGTTAACTTCCGAACTAACACCGTTTCGCGTCGTGTTGAAATCGGCTCATTTGCATTAGTTCAGGTTTCGATTTTGAATTATTTTTAGGTTTGGGTTGAAATCGACTAGGAATCATAGTTTAGGTTGGAAAAACCCGCCAGCAAATAGTTGAGGTTGAAAAAAACCGTTTTCCCGTATATTATTAGAAGAAAAAAATCCTTAAAAGTATATCACCCATTTACAAACTGACATCTACTATCGGTTTGATTGTCATTCAGAATTTCGATACAAGTGAAATTGAAATGCGTATAAATGAACAATGAAAACGTGTATGTTCTTTTAGTCAAGTACTAATAATTCTGTGTACCTAATTTTTGTAACTCTTGCATCGTGCAGCTACGACGACCAATACCATTCAATTATTGAGGTAGGTCCACAAAATTGAATAAATCCAATATTTTCAAGCTTTTTATTTGTCAAATATGACCCAAAAAATGTTTTTTTCTTTCCATCTTAGGTTTGAAATGCGACTTTTTTTTTAGAGAAGATAACGCTTATACCAAAAGTTAATAATGGAAAACCTTTTGACAATTACATAATCTCTTGTGCAATTTGAAATTCAACAAAATCCACAACAAAAATATATAAATTTTTAATAAGAACAACAAAAATATAGTTATGTCGATAATTTGCAAAAGATTAACTTTCTTTCAATTAGTCTTTTTTAGTAAAACAGCATCGAATTATTTTGCTTCGAAATTAAAGTAGAATTGACGACTTGAACATGAAACTGAAGAAATATAATTGAAATGTGGATTAAAAAACAGTAATACGAACCTTCATCATCTGGCAAAAGTTGAGCATTTGATCCGAAATTTTCCAAGCAGATGAAGATGAGAAGAAGAACATACACAACTTTCTCTGTCGAGAAGATGAAACCCATCTCTCGTTTTTTCCTCGGATTAAACCAAAACAGATTCTAAATTCTCAAAGAGACGAGACCAGACCAGAAGATTGAGAGAGATTGAGAGAGATTGAGAGAGAAAATGGAAGAAGAAAGAAACAGTTGGGAAAAAGCTTTTAGTGTTCACACACATTTATATAATTAACAGAATCTCATATGTCGAAAAAAAATGAAAAACAAAATCGCATAAATATATTTTTAATATCTAGCCGCCGGAAATGAATAATTTATGTGGGGTTCACTGACTGATTTCTAATCTTCATTAGTACTATTTTTAAATAATAGAAATAAATGTAGTAAATATTTGGTGAATTTAGTTTTCTTTTGGCATTCGTTAAATCAATATTGATTTAAATCAAGCAAGATCTACGAATTTTAACAATGATGTATAATGTATGCAGCATTTATATTTATTTTTAATTTGGAATCCAATAGATATCACAAATAAAATAGACAATCACTATTTTAATTATATATGAAATCCATATTTAGTAGTAAATAGTTATATATCTCACGTTCCCAGAAGGATCCAGTCCACGTTCGGCTTCCGCTGTTTCTGACGAGCATTAATTAGTTAGTTAATTATACTAGTCAAATTCTAAGTACGTTTTTTTCGTAAGAAAGTATAAATAATCAAAAATTATCTTTGTTTAATTAAAACAAGACAAGACCGTGCCATGCAGAAAAATAAAAGGGATTTTTGTCAATTCTGGTTTCTACGACAATCTGAAAAAAGATTTATGCTAAAACAATTTCTACTTTTTATGAAGAAATAGTAAACAATGACTAAAAAGATTTATGCTTTTCTTGAATGCTTTTTAGTTTTACTTTTACACGATAGCTTTTTTACTTTTGATCTGTCTAATATCATGACCCGAGTCCAAAAGGAATGGCTGCGATGTTGTCTATAAGCAGCCACACTTTTTTTTTTTTGTGTGTGTCTATGGATAACATAAGCAGCCATGCTTGCCCGAAATCTTGAATTTTAACATTAATACGGGTGGTTAGAAAATATAATTTTTTGAAACCTATTATGGATCTAATTATTTGGTAGTTCTAAGTTCTAACATACAGTAGTTATTATGTTTGTCGTAGTTGTGACCGTCCAATTTCTTCAATGCTTATGGGAAGAAGCCAGAACTATAGTTCCTTAAGCCTACTTGGCCCCAAAATAAAATAAAAATGTAAGCCTATACATATAATCTAAAACTGCATTTTGCGTTTTAGAACCAAAAAAACAAAAGAAAACAAAGTTTTACAAAAATCAATAATGGGCATATGCTCTTAATTCCTATAAAGTTGCCGCTAATTATACATCAACGGCTCATTGCAATCGTTGCGATGCGAATCCAACAAACCAACACAATCCCTTTGTTTCACTTTCCCTTCTGTTTAACTTTGTTTTTCATATATGTCATTAAAAAGTATTAAATTATAAATCTTGTTTGTAATTTCTGATTATGAAAACCACACGTGGTTAATTATCCTTTATACATTGTGATAGTTGACGACGTTTTATAATTTTCAATGTTGTGACACAATGCAAATCTAAATATATAGAAAAGATAAAAAGAAATCATGTTAACATTAATGTGATACGTGTCATAGAAATATCTGGATATGAGATTAATCTAAATTTCTATTTTTTTATACATATATATTATTTAACTGGAAAGAAAATAGCACTGTTTTGGAAAAAAAATATAAAGAAAAAGAAAAATTTCATACATAGGCGAACAAAACTAAATAGGAATTTCCTTTTTCCATAAACAATTAAAGAAAGTAATTTCAAATTATTTGTCACTGTGGTATTTCTTTCTTTTTGTTTTACAAACTTGATATCTAAGATATGTAACTTCATCACCATGTAATAATTGAAAAAATGCTTGTTTAGTAAAATAATTTTCCATTTTGTTGTTACTAAATCCCTTATATATTTTTGGTAGATATTATAAGAGATCTAGAAAAAATGAATTTAATCTAGCAGAGATTAAGAGATACTTAACAATTAATAATATGCACACTTTTTTCTTTTTGTTAAATGACCATTTAACGAAAGTTTATTTTCTTAAACATGTTATTCTTCTAAAGATTCTTATTTTATGTTACTTTTTCATAACTAAGTAGCTGAATTAGTTTATCTTCATTTCTGATTTCTTCGCAAATTTCTCTTTAATTTATCTCTCCTCACAAACAATCCCACATATGATACATCAATCTAAGTTCTAATGTGAAAAAAGCAACCAGAAAAAATGTTGTTTAATCAGTTTCTCTTCACTTCCTTCTTGCTATTTCTCTTCTTCCTCTTCGGTTTCGCATCATCGGCAACTTTGCCAACCCAAGAAGGTAGACATATGCATATATAATATGCATGCTTATAATCTTCGAGTCATTTGTACAGTTATATGATCTATGTGTGTGAAATTCTTTGTAGAGGAGGCTTTTAAAGTTGCACTAACCACATTGAAAAAGACTAATATTGATTTAAATACGGATCCATGCGAAGTCTCATCTACTGGAAGTGAATGGTCAACCATCAGCAGGTGGAAAGACCTAGTAACTTGTGACTGCTCCTTCGTTAATGGAACCATTTGCCACATTACCAAAATGTTTGTCTCTCTTGATTTTTCATTTTATGAAATCTATTTGGTTTTGTTGATTCAATTTTGTGAATCTTTTTGGTTTTGACATTTGACACAGAAATTTGAAGAGAGAAAATCTTCAAGGGTCTCTTCCCAAAGAGTTTGTGGGACTTCCTTTACTGCAAGAGATGTAAGCAAAAACCCAAAGAATCGATCGAGGAAATTACGAATTTGCATCTTTAAAAATGATATGAAGTGTCATTCTTTTTATTGTAGTGATCTCTCAAGAAACTATCTCAATGGTTCCATCCCTCCCGAATGGGGAGTCTTGCCACTTGTCAACATGTACATATACATATCTCCATAGCTGCTCATATACTTTCAATATATATTGGACTTACTCTGTTGATGAAATGCAGATCGCTTCGTGGAAATCGATTAACGGGTCCAATCCCTAAGGAATTTGGAAACATTACAACTCTTACTAGCCTGTGAGTTTAACTAATTTTTTTCAATCTGTTATAACCAATGTTTTCAGATAGTTTATGCTTAGAAGTAACTTGCTTAATTTTTTTTATTTTATGATTCTAGTGTCTTGGAAGCCAATCAACTTTCAGGAGAATTACCTCTTGAGCTCGGGAATCTACCAAACATTCAACAAATGTAAGAATTTTCGTACGAGTTTGAGTTTAGTTTTTGTATTGTCGAAACTTGAAACCTAGATTTGTTTTTGTATAGGATTCTTAGCTCGAATAACTTCAATGGAAACATTCCATCTACATTTGCAAAACTAACCACCTTGAGAGATTTGTAAGTATTCTTCTTTGATTCAAAAAGAAGTTTTTTTGTTACTTAATCTTATATGAAATTCTGGTATTTTTGCTAATGCATCTAATTTTGTACATAGTCGTGTAAGTGACAACCAGTTTTCAGGAACAATTCCAGATTTCATCCAAAAATGGATTAAACTTGAGAGACTGTAAGATCTTTGTTTACAGTTTTGAGATAATTATTACCTCCTTTAAACATTCTTGATTTTAGTAATTATAATGTTATGGTTACTTCAGGTTTATTCAAGCAAGTGGTTTAGTTGGACCAATTCCCATTTCCATTGCTTCTCTCGTAGAGTTAAAAGACTTGTATGTATAACTATCTACATTGGCGTCAATGTTGGTTATTAAATTTTCTTCAATGTGTATTCACTTTATTATACTTGAATTTTTTTTTAGGAGAATCAGCGATTTGAATGGACCCGAATCTCCATTTCCACCGTTAAGGAACATAAAAAAGATGGAGACATTGTAAGTCTTAGATTGAACTAACATTTGGAACCTTTCTTTGGACATTAAAAGCTAATTCACGAGTTGTTATTTTTTTCTTTTGACATTGTAGAATTCTTAGGAACTGCAATCTAACAGGAGACTTACCTGCGTATCTTGGAACTATTACCTCCTTAAAGCTCTTGTTAGTATATTTACAAGTATTATCAATCACTACTAGAATAAAATCAAAACTAAGCTAACTTTGTAATAATCTTCTTACAGAGATCTTAGCTTCAATAAATTAAGTGGAGTCATCCCTAACACTTATGTTAATCGTAGCGACGGAGGTTACATGTATGAAATTAAATCATTCTTTTATTTCTTATTTCTGCGAACTGCCGGCCGAGAATTTCGTTTGACGTATTTCTTTCTTACAGATATTTTACAGGAAACATGTTAAACGGGTCGGTTCCAAATTGGATGGTAAATAAAGGATATAAAATGTGAGTTTTTCAAACTTCTTTGTAGGGTGCATTGGGAAAATTATATGTACATAACATGTTTCTTTGGTTACTGGGGATTTTATTTTGTAGTGATCTTAGTTACAACAATTTCTCAGTAGATCCAACCAATGCCGTATGCAAGAATAATGCGTAAGAAAACAATAAACACCTTCGAAATTTCCATGGCTATTTAATTTTTCATAATTTCAAGAGACTAAAAGATTAATAAATGTTTTGTTTGTTATAGACTTTCATGCATGAGAAACTACCAGTGTCCTAAAAGTAAGTATATATATGCATTAATGGACGCAATGAAATTTTAGTCGGTGTAGTGTTTGTCTGATTTGTGCTTTATTTCTTGTGTTATAGCTTTCAATGGTCTTCATATAAACTGTGGTGGAGATGAAATGTCTATCAATGGGACAATATATGAAGCTGATAAGTATGATAGACTGGAGAGTTTATACGAAAGTCGAAATGGGTGGTTCTCAAGCAACGTAGGAGTCTTCGTAGACGATAAACATGTTCCCGAGAGAATAACCATCGGGTCTAACTCATCTGAGCTCAATGTGGTAGATTTTGGGCTGTATACGCAAGCTCGAATCTCAGCCATCTCACTCACTTACTATGCATTGTGTTTACAAAATGGAAATTACAATGTTAATCTCCATTTCGCCGAGATTATGTTTAGCGGTAACAACACTTATCAAAGCTTGGGTAGACGGTTTTTTCGACATATACATTCAGGTAATTAGAAGGACACATATAAATGTCTAAAAAGTTTGGTCACACATTATAAATTTTGATGAAGCTTTGGTGAAATCATGTAGAGGAAGCTCGAGGTTAAAGATTTCAATATCGCTGAGGCGGCAAAAGGTGTTGGAAACGTTGTTATTAAGACATTTCCGGTCGAGGTAACAAACGGAAAGTTGGAGATACAATTGTATTGGGCCGGGAAAGGAACTACAGTCATTCCCAAAAAACGTGTTTATGGTCCTCTCATATCTGCTATATCAGTGGATCCAAGTAAACAATGTTACTTTTTTTGATATTTTTCATATTAGAGTTGATTCATTATTTCATTTCTGACGAAAATTTAACACATGTATGCAAATAGATTTCAATCCACCACCTAGAAATGGTATGAGTACTGGTACTCTCCATGCATTGGTAGTGATGGCATGCATTTTCATTGTGTTTGCCGTACTTGGAATTCTATGGAAAAAAGGTTGCTTGAGATCGAAAAGCCAAATGGAAAGAGGTACTTACAAAGAATACTAAATAAGCTATGATATTTCTAAGGGTTTGTCTTTTGTATGTGTTTCTTGATAATTGTTGCTTTTTTCTTCTATCAGATTTCAAAAGTTTGGAACTCATGATTGCTTCTTTCTCGTTGAGGCAAATCAAAATCGCTACAAACAACTTTGATTCTGCAAATAGAATTGGAGAAGGTGGCTTTGGTCCTGTATACAAGGTAAGAAACAAAAAGAAAGATCACAACTAAGAACAATTTGTAAGGATCAATTGACAAAAGTTTGTTGTCTTTAATTTGGTTACAGGGAAAGTTGTCTGATGGAACAATAATCGCAGTGAAACAACTTTCGACAGGATCAAAACAAGGGAACCGCGAGTTCTTGAACGAGATTGGCATGATTTCAGCTCTGCACCACCCGAATCTGGTTAAACTATATGGATGTTGCGTTGAAGGAGACCAGCTTTTGCTAGTCTATGAGTTTGTAGAAAACAACAGCCTTGCTCGAGCATTGTTTGGTTAGCAACACTCTAGCTCCTTAAATAAACGGTCAAAAAATGAATTTAGTTATTATATATATTTACAACCAATTTGTTTTCCCATTCTTGATAAAGGTCCCCAAGAAACTCAGTTGAGATTGGACTGGCCTACAAGACGGAAGATCTGTATCGGGGTAGCGAGAGGACTAGCATATCTACACGAAGAATCGAGGCTAAAGATTGTACATAGAGACATCAAATCCACTAATGTGTTGTTAGACAAAGAACTGAATCCAAAAATATCAGACTTTGGTCTTGCTAAGCTTGATGAAGAGGACAGCACTCACATTAGCACTCGAATCGCTGGAACATTGTAAGCCAAAATCAATCATCAATATTCAGTGACAAAGGTTATATAATCTGAGATTTGCTTATAACCACAACATTTTTGCAGTGGTTACATGGCTCCAGAGTATGCCATGAGAGGCCATTTGACAGATAAAGCCGACGTTTACAGCTTTGGCATTGTAGCTCTAGAGATCGTTCATGGAAGAAGCAATAAAATAGAACGTTGCAAAAACAATACCTTCTATCTTATTGACTGGGTAACCATGATCTTGTTGATTGATTACATTTCACAGAACTTTTGAAGAAAATATGTCAACTTTTTTTGTTCTTGTTTCCCTAGGTGGAGGTATTGAGGGAGCAGAATAATCTCTTGGAACTTGTGGATCCAAGACTAGGATCAGATTACAACAGAGAAGAAGCAATGACAATGATCCAAATTGCGATAATGTGTACAAGCTCAGAGCCTTGTGTTAGACCATCAATGTCAGAAGTTGTGAAGATGTTGGAAGGTAAGAAGATCGTGGAGTTGGAGAAGCTTGAGGAAGCTTCAGTCCATAGAGAAACAAAGAGACTTGAAAACATGAACACGATGAAGAAGTATTACGAAGTGATAGGGCAAGAGATAAGTACAAGCATGAGCATGATCATGAGTGATCGTAGTGAATCATCAGCAGATCATTAGCAGTTGTGTAAAATAACATATGAAGATGGAAACCCAAAAAACTGTCTTTAGCATTTCAGAAACAATCTGAGTTCTTAAATACAAGTCAGAGAGAGAGAGGGATGTGGGAATCAATCTTTTTTAATAAGTGTTAAAATAGACAAAAGCAGAGAATCCTAATGTAACTACTTACACACAAGATTTACATTTGGTTCTTTTCTTTTTTTGTCTTTTCGAATATTCTTGATCTTAAATCAATTTTCTTCCTCCAAGTTGGTAGGCTCGCTAAGAACATACTTCGGTAGCTCATACTTAGCACCTGCAGAGAAAGAACAGTACTAGTCAGGAACATGATGAACAATCACGATGCAAGCGAAACAAGATCTAAATTTCGACCTCTCTCGTCATAGCAGACTGTGAGATCTGTGTTCTGAACAATGACTCCTGCACTGTCCACAATTGCTTGTGCAAGAGATATATCAGATTCTGCAGCTGCACGAAGTGCGTCCCATATCTCTGCAATTACCAAGTGTAAAATACAAACATGTTGACACTAAGATCATATGAAAACAGCGAAAAAAACACACAAAAAAACAAAGCATATCATTTTGCTGACACAAAATATTCCCTCACTATGGTATAGAACTGAGACAATCAAATTGCCATGAAGTTCACTGGTAAGCATTTAAAATTCTCAACCTAATGAAATGTTATTTAACAAGTGCTATGTAGAACACCAAAAAGGGTCCTTAGCTCAGTGGTAGAGCAATTGACTGCAGATCAATAGGTCACCGGTTCGAATCCGGTAGGGCCCTTACACTTCTATTTTTTTCCTCCTTCCCAATCCCTAATATCCCTATTGTACATATACTATTTCATGGTAAATCAATGACTCATTCATCTCCCTAACAACCAAAGGGTCCTTAGCTCAGTGGTAGAGCAATTGACTGCAGATCAATAGGCCACCGGTTCGAATCCGGTAGGGCCCTTATAACTTTTTTTTATCCCAAACATTAATATCCATTTTTTCACAAAATCCCTGCAGAACAATGACTATCTATCCTGTTTATGTATAACTAATTCCTAGAAAACCAAAGGGTCTGGTCCTTAGCTCAGAGGTAAAGCAAATTACTGCAGACCAATAAGTCACCGGGGACTCATTACAGCCCTTAAGACTCTCTTTTTTTTCCTCCCTCCCAATCACTAATATGCCCATTTCACAAATCCCTGTGGAGTTTAGATCAATGACTGACTATTCTATAATCTTGTTTATGGGAAACTCATTAATAAACAACCAAAGGGTCCTTAGCTCAGTGGTAGAGCAATTGACTGCAGATCAATAGGCCACCGGTTCGAATCCGGTAGGGCCCTTAATTTTGTTTATTTTTTTCCTTCTTCCTAATACCTTTTTTACAAATCCTTCAATTCTTTGATGTGTAAAAAGTGAAAACACCACTCAAAAATCAAAATCAAGGCAAGCTCAAAGAATAAGTAACAATTACCTTTTCTACCGCCATAGTGAGGAGCAGTGTCCCAAAACTCTTCTCTAAGTTTCATAAGCTCAGCTTTCGTAATCGGTTGGGTATGCTTCCACGGTTTCGGCTTCCTAATTTTCTTCACTGACCCTGTAAACCAAACAAGAAATTATCCATCTGATGCAATGCACAACCCAATAAAACTAAAGGATCTATGTGCATCATCAACCATAGGCATTGCCGCATTAATCATACTAGTTAGTGCCCAATTAAAGATTAAAGTAAGTCCATTAGCGGAAACTAGCTTTATCGGTGTAGATTCCTCACTTAATTTTCTTTCCATAAGAGAGAAGCCAACCCTAATCAGAGATTGTAGCATATATATGCCACATAAACATACACAAACAACAATCTAAAAGACTAAAACATGAAAAAAATCCTTCACTGGAATCAAATTTAAACATCAAAGATATCAAATTCGAAGATAACATCAGCTCTTGCTACTACCATGAAGATTCCAAACTAAAACAAAAACCAAATCAGAACAGATAAAACCTAAACCCTAAATTTCAACGAACAAAATCTACTTTAAGGTTAGAGGAAGGAACATTCCAACATATTGATTACACATCTCATCGATTTTAGATAAAAAACGATTCCTTTTTTTTCTCCTAATCCAATAATATTGAACAAGTAAAGATTCGATCTTACCATCTGCTTGAGACTGTGTCGATCCAGCACAACCCATTAATGTTCTTGCTTCTTCTTTCAAACCCTTCAAGTAAAAAACACAAATTCTCTCAGGAAATAAACCAAAAGGATTCAGACAAAACACTGGGTTTGTCGAAGCTTCATCGAAACCAATCAAAGTCTCAAACTTTTTTCCTTTCCTTAAGAGAAAGCAAAGAGATTTTTTTTGCGAATCTTGAGACAAATAAATTAGATGTCGGTAGAAAGATGAAGATCAAGACCGAGTTGAAGATGACGATGAATCGGTGTTGATGATTGTGACATTATTGTGATCTTTCGATATATAAACTAAAGATTTGATTTTTTTTTTTTTTTTTTTTTTTTTTGGCATAACGAAAAGGAAAATTTGGGTTTTTTTTTTTTGGCTTCGCTGTTTTCTCAATTAAAGGCAAATGTTCTAAATCCAATGCCAGGCCAACCAATCATATTTCGCCACGTCATCGTAATTATTCTTTGGATTGAAGAATCTGTTATTCTTTTGTGCACTTTAATCTTTAACTAATAATGATCATGGCTTAATTAAGTTAATCAAGTAGTAGTAGTAATCAGGTTGGGAAAAGAATAGCAATAATCATCACTTTAAAAGTGGCTACCAGATTATTTTTGTTGTAATTAATGAACGAATAATTAAATTAATTAATTAATCCCATAGATAGTGATGGTATACAATAAAGTTTCTTCATTCTTTTCTTTATAGATTGTTTGTGTTTAAGAAATAGCAAAAAGTATCATAGCACTGAGATACTTGTTAATTTTGAGAATTTATGATTACAACATTTTTGTCTTTGTTATTAAAAGTAATCTAATAAAAATGGACAAAAACTAAAAGATAAATGTATTTTAAGATCAATGTTAATTTTGGTAAAACAATTTTAAAATAAAAATCCAATAATACTTAACAAAATCTTTTCTAGATATCCTACTACTATTAATTGGGGAGTACAAAATATAACCTAACCTAAAAGTTGTTAAAAACTACATTATAATGCCTTTGGTTTGTTTTTAAAATAAATGCATTAAGGGTATAATAGTAATCACAAATTAATATAATTAAATAAACATTGTAAGAAAAATAAAATAATTATTAGTTTCTAAAAAAATTAAGCTCACATCCTCTCACATCAATTATGGACAAAAATTCAAAAATTGTTAACCAATCAAAATTGAAAAAAAAAAGATATGATATCTAATTATACCATATTATTTATTTTTAGTTATTATATTTGTAAGATTTTATTATGATTTTAAATTATATTCTTCTATCATATTTGTTTGATTTTATTTTCAAATTATTTTGAATTATCATATAATAAATATAATTAATAAAATATTGATTTTTCAACATATGTTGTGATTTAAATTTTTAGAAACATAAATATATTACTCAATCGAAGTTTTATAGGATATTAAAACACCAAAATCATACAACATCAACTGAAACTAAATCTGGCAAAAACATTAAAATCTCCGGAAATAACAAGAGACACACAAAGTCACAAACAAAACCATACGTAAACCAAACCAAAACAACATACATACACAAAACCCTAACATTGTTTGATAACATTATATAAATTAAATATATAAAAAAAAACTAATTCTTAAATAAAATAAAAGATTTCCCTATACAATTCAAATTTCCGAAAAATGTAACAAAATTATTCATCCCGTGAATACCGCAGGTTAGAACCTAGTTTTTAATGGTTTATTTTAAGAGAATTAACACCTTTTTTTGTTCAAAAAAGTGATGAGAAACTAGTTCAACTTTGACAATCAGAAGAAGATTGAAGAAATTTTAGTCATGTTTTGATCCCAAAATTTCAAGACCAATCCAAGATTTATAAAGAGCTTATATATTAGCTAATCAAACATGACAACACTTTTTCTTGGGTATAAAAACCAACAATGATGCCACAAAAGACCTGCACAAAGTTTCTTACTCTAATAAGAAAAGGAACTAAGATGAACAAATAATTTCACAACAAAGCTATAATCTTTCGTCAAATCTAACCAACCGCAGGATCGCAAAGCTCTTCTTCTACCGGAAGCTTCAGATCCCTGCGAACTATAAGTGAATTAAATTCGTCAAGGAAAGATCTTTCTTCACTTCTTTTGAAGTATGACCATCCCCACAAAGGCAATTCCACGAGTGGCCACACCTATGAGAAGCAATATCATTATACATAAATTCCATTCATTAATGTCGTAGCCACTCTTCATAAGCGATCCACATCGAGTAATCATCCATACTCCATAGTACCTGAAACCCAATATATGAATCAAACCGAGCTCTTGAGGGAAAAGGATCATTTCTTTATGCTTTTGTTCCTACTTGTTTTCGTACCTTTGAGCATTTCCTATCACAAATGCTTCCAAAGCCCACTTTGGATAACTTAAATCGGCTATGATCTTAATAACTTCACTATTCTTCGGTTGGGTTGCCACAAGTGTTAAAACGACTGGAAGAAGAACAGAAAACTGCAAAATCCCCAAAAGTTTGTCAATTAGAATAAGTAGAGAGCATGAATCTTCTTTAAAAGGAAACTTAAATAAAACTCACCAGCTGGGCTGTGCTTGGTTGGAGAAAGATAGCCAACGCATATGCAATACCGGTCACACAATATACGAGACAGACCAAAACAATATAGTTATCGAAAAATGTGGATCTTGGGTTTGTGAAGAAATAGAACATGGAGAGATAGACCAATGGCTTGACAAGTATATTGAAAACGTCTATTGTATCTTTGGCAAGGAAGCAGGCCGAGCTACTCATCCCTGAAGCACTTTCTCTCCAGTAATGTAACTTGTCTAGTGAGAATGATCTTAAAGCTGCTATTTTGCAGAGAAGAGCTGACAGAAGAAGAAAAGCAAAACATAAGATTAATAAGAACATGAAGAAACTTCTCAAAAATTGATTAATAACAGTAATGATAGTTTAATAAAGGGTTTAATCCAACTTACAGACTGCGATAATAGTATAGGTATAACCAGGAGCTCCAAAGCTCTCATCACTTGCTTTAATCAGTGATCCTAAACAAGCTCCAGCAAGCAACAAGATCAAATAGTCTGTGGCTTGTAATTGAGCTTCTCTCATTCGCTGCTTAGCTATCCTGAAATCAAGAACGTTAATCCGCTTTATTCCAACATCCAAGAATGAATTGATCGTAAGTAAGTCGTGGAGAATGTAAGAAGTATACCTTCCAAGGAAATATTTGTATTGCAGCCACGTAGTAGGGGTTCTTCTGTGGGATAAATCTCTAGACTTTAAGAAGTTATGCCGTATTTTATCACGACGCAACCTGAAATTACTCTTCACATCTCGCCACAGCTCTCCGGCAAATGTTTGTTCTGCATTATCATGTGAATTATTACCAGTGTCTGGATTCGTTTCAAGTCCAGCAGCACTGTTGTTCCGCATATCTAATGGAACCGAGTACCCTTTGTGAAGCATCCACCTTTGAGGAAGCTCTTTGTAACCAACACCAGAATTCCCAATTGAAATCACTACTCCTTCCAGAACATCAATGTAATAGTCAGGAGGGTTGATACGGTCTGGAACATCTATTCCCAGACCCGAGAAGTATTCCTCGACTTTGTTGACTGATCCGTGGTAAACAGTAAGACCACCTTTCGCAAGAAGGACTAGATCATTGAACGTTTTGAACAAAGTATAACTGCAATAAAAAACAAAAGCATTATGAGTTAAAAACTTTATGACACTTGCAGACATTTCCTCAATGCGAAACTTGTTTTCAAGATACCTTGGTTGGTGAACAACCATGCAAATATTGACTCCCTCGAGGGCTTCATGCCGAAGTGCTCTAAGAAGAAGCTGTGATGAGGCACTATCCAAGCCAGAAGTAGGTTCATCCAAGAATAGAACTGAAGGCTCCATTACCATCTCTAAACCCACATTCACTCGTTTCCTCTGCCCTCCTGAGATTCCCCGCTTCTCTACCGTACCAACTAAAGAACTCCTCACAGCTTGTAGCCCCAAAGAGTCGATGATTCTTTCAACCACAAGAACTTTGTCTGCTTTCGATAGACCCGCAGGTAATCTGCATTTAGCATGGAACCAAAGATTTTCCTCTACTGTTAAGTTTCCATGAACAACGTCATCTTGAGGCACAAACCCAATAATTTTTTTATATGAATGGATTGATTCCTGCTTCCCGTTTATAAGAATCAAACCACTCAATTTGCACCCGACAGCTTTCCCAGCCAAAGCAGAAAGAAGACTCGTCTTTCCTGCTCCGGATGGACCCATCACAGCTGTGATCCGACCTGGTTTCATACTTCCTGTGACACATCTCAACACTTGCTTACCATTGGATTTCAAGGTAAGAGTTAAATCTTTGAAAGAAAGCTCCATGAGAGGCCTCTTTCTCGTCTCAGAATTAGTAGCCATTTTAACTATTCCTGAAAAGGTGAGATTTTTATTCTCTTGCTCCATGGCTTTCTCCTTTTCAATCCGATCATAAGCATACTTGAAGATTTGGCTACGTGTTTTCTTAGTTTTGGCCAAAGTCTGTCCTTTGACTCTCTTTCCTTCTATGTCAAGACTTGCTCTTCCATTACTCCCAGTGGCGGCATCATCCTCATTCTCATAACTAGATTGTGCAGCAGAGGAACTCGCAGGACTTGAATATTTGGACATGTCTATATCTTCATCTACCTCTGAAGAGTCCCCACGACCCAACATCTTGTGGGTATCCCCATCATGATTGGGTTTTTTACCTGAAAATGTCCGAGTTATTTGCGCACGGATCTCACTCACATGCTTTTTAGCAGCTTCTCTAGCAGCTTTCCATCTCTGATGAGCTTTCGCTTTCTTCACCGCTGCTTCCCTTGACTTAGCCTGTCTCCTTTCCCTTGTTGTTAGGATTTGATCGGAACAATTGTAGATAATGAGTAGCATAGTACTCACTGCAGCCTGCACAAAAAAATTGAAGGCCACTCTTTTAGTGGAAAACTTTAATCTTGGATATATATGAATATCTGAAAAAACTTACGATAACCATAACCCCAAATGCATGCATGTTCTGATTTGCTGTGTTGGGATTGCAAGACGTCAACTTAAAGCAGGCTGCAAAAGACAAGAAGTAATTTATACATGACGAGACTAGCAATGGAAATGGTAAAACTTGGTTAAGTGACAACAAGCCATCATATAATATTCGAAAACTTACGTTTCTCAGATGTAGACCCCATCCTGCAGTAGTGCCTGAATAACCATAAAAGTAAAACTAGTTAAACTAAAAACAGCTCGAACCAAAATCTGATTATCAGCTTAATCATTATTTTGAGGACAATTTGGCGGGATGGAACGGAGTTTGAAGGGACGTAAAAATGAATACCCACTATCACAAGGTACTTTTTGGGTTGTGGTTGGACAATATGATCCCGCGGAACAGAATACTTCACCGCTGGATCGGACATCGGCCCATACATTTGCACCTCCACAAGTGTGGTTTGGTCGTCCTGATGGTAATTGATAAGTGTACCTACAGATTTGATATTTCAACATCTTATCATGCATAAATATCACATGTATCTTATCATATTAGTATCTATATCAAAGATGGAATGAAAAAAAACTTACGGTTCACATAAGCTTGTAGTTTTATTAAGGGTAGCTAAAGGGCAATGAGCACCAAGGGGGCAAGCTTTTCAAAACAGAACAGAAATTTAGAAGCAGCGTTAGACCATATACATGAGAAAGACTTACAACCAATGTAGTGTTTTGAATTTCTTACGTATCATACAAGTGAGGCCACGGGGGCAGAAAAAACCTTCGCAGCAAGACATACAGTTTCTTCTTCTTTCAGGAAAATCTTTGGAGTTTTGCAGGTCGACTTGTTCGGTTGAATCAACACTACAGCCCCATCCAGGTTCACAACCAGAGACCCATGAAGTCAAGTTGCAATTAACATTTGGTCGCAAGTAGCCCGGGTTATTCGTTTTATTGAAGAAAGCATTAAAATAGAACTTCATCTCTGCTGCTGTACAGATACGCCTACCAATATCACCTGTTCCAAACCGAAAAAGTCACAAACTTGTACATAAAAATGTGATCTTGAAGAAACACATAAAAAGATAAGTAAACCATTTCATCAGATTTAACACTAAGAACCATAAAAATCAGGAGAAATATGCAACAAATAAGACTTGGAATTCCTATACAACATCAAAATCGTCACTCTTTCGTCTTTTGTCAGCAACTAAGTAATGATTTTGCGGTTGCGATTTGTGCTAAGTAAAAGTCCATTACCTTGAGTTTTCTGAATGCAAGAAGATAGGAATTTCAAGTTGGATGAGAAATTAAAAGCTCTATTCCAATCAGCATCCCTGAGATTGTGATTTCAATAAAAGGACAATCTGAGCAAAATATCTCTCAAAACTTTTGTAAACTAAAAGAACACATTCCACCTAAAATTAAGCAAATGAAGCTATCAATGCATCAACGATATCTAAGATCCAAGAATTGAAAGTTCCACACCCTCTCTATGGCCTGATATCTTAGTAAACTAACAAAACACCAAGCTGAAATCTATAGAAGAAAATGCGACATTTGTTTGCACTAGTAAGGAAAGTGCAAGAATGTAGTTTAAGAGGAAGAAAACTGACGGGTCTTTGACGCAAAACTTTGCCCTGGTACCGAGCTCACGATTGAGAGCAGCGGTGCTATTAGAAAGACTACGGTAAACCATCTGTGTAACGAGCGGAAGAACAGCTGGATTGTTGAACTCACTGGTGTCCGCAATAGTTTGACCATTACCAACATAACAAACCAACCACATAACTAAGATCACCAATCTGAGATTACATCCATGTTTGAGCCAATTTCGCCGATTCACACTCATCTTGAGATTCAAAAGCCTTAAAGAACACAACAGAAAAAGTTGCTAAATCAGATGCAAAGAAACCACAAACAAAAACATACAAAAGAGAGCCTTTTTTCAATTCCTTTAAATGGAATGTTTGAGACATTGTGATTTGTGAGTGGAGAGGGAAGAAGAAACGTGAAGGAAGTTGGAGAAACGATGGTGGTCTTCTGTGTGCGAAGAACGTGACGAACAATGTGAAAAACGACCCATCTTAATTTTATATATTTCTAATCAATTGTTAAGCTTGATTTTGGGTATAGCTACATAAAGGCTGAATTTTTTTTGTCTTATCATATCACATCACAGTTCTATTTCAAATTAAGAAGAAACGAACTCAAAAACAATCTAATTTCAAGATTTTGAAAACCCAGAAACTTAAAAGTTCTTTCTATTTCTCCAGATCACATCACAAAACAGAACAAGTTTTAGTTTTTCTTTCTCAGATTGCAGAACGCAAAAGCAGCCTAATTTCCAGAGACTAAAAGAGTAACAGAAATTAAAGAACCGTACATTGTGACTTCAGACTTGTGAGGCATTGAAGTTCATGACTTGGGAGCTGAAGAGTCCATGAAAATTGAAGTTGCTTAATCTACAAAGCTTGAGATTTGCAGGTTAATCTGCCATCATTGACCTCGACAAGAAGAAGAAGAAGATAGAGAAGAGGGAAGAAGAAGAAGAGAGTGCGTTGAATGATTCATTAGGACAAGGAACATAAGTATAAACCTAAGGTTGTATAATTACAGTTAAAAAATCTTTAAAAGTATCAACCTTTATGGTTGATTAAGGAATAGATTTATTTTCTTTCTAAGTTTATTCAAAATTTTCTTTAAGTAAAATGATAGAAAATAATTGTTTACTGTTTCCTTATATATAGTGTGATTAAGAAAATAAAATTCAGTTTTTTAGTGTCTAAATGCAAATTTCTCTTTCCAATTCAAATTGTAATATCATAAAGTTTTCTGTAGAAAAGTCATTTCAAAATTGTAACCCTGACTTGTTGTACATAAATTATAATGGACTGTGGAACATAATTGGTAAACTATAAGTTTTTTCATGACTAGGATACGGAGAAAATTTGATATTCGTCATCATGAGAAATTAAATTTAGGACAGAGATTGCAAATTGTTCATATGTTAACAATCAACTGGTCTGGTCCCATGGTATATTGAATTTGATGGGTCCAAATTTAGAAGATAGAAAAGAACAAATAACCGAAATTTTTATAAACATCAAAATTATGACTGAAAACTCTTCATTGGAACAAACTATGATTGACTTGTATACTACTTATCAAGAGTCTATAGCTCATAAACATGTATATTTAAGGTTTTGCAGGTAGTAGCCACCGATCATTTCGTTTTGGGTGGCGATACAAATCAGCGAGGCAATTGGTAGATGCTTCGTAGTTTTGGATTTCTTTGGTTGTGTGAACGAATTGATCCAACCAAACGTTGAAAGCGTTTGCATGTAAAGAAGACTATCAAAAATATATATTCTTTCTTTTTTATGTCATTTTGCATTCTCACCTCACAATGCCTATGACGTGAAGAGATAGACATAAATTTGATTAATTTTTTTTGGATTTTTTCAGCAATTTTGACCACGACTTTCTAACCAAAATTTTGTTTTGTCACATTATCAAATTAGTTTAATCAACTTTCTTCTTTAAGAATTTAACCAGTTATACAGTTCTTTTTTTTTTTCGTCTGAATGATATTGATAAAACTTCGAAGGATACAACGACCGGCGGAAATAGATAATACAGTTCAACTATAACGTTATCAAATTTACTAATTAACTGTCGTTTTTTACCATTTTACATTTCAATCTTAATAATCTTCTTCGTAACCGTCATTAAAATCTTAAGCGCAAAAAAAAAAAATAAATAAAAAAAAAAAATAAATAAAAAAAAAAAATCTTAAGCGCACCAATCGGAACCTGTTTCTTAATCAAATTAGCTGAGCCCGTAACAAGACAGATAAGCCCAACAAACTCACGCCTTTAGCTGATCTCTTAGTTGGCCCATTAATAAGCCCACCCAAGTCCATAAGAATATTGACTATTACGAAAATGACCAAAAACACCCTTCGCGCATCTCGAGATCTCTCCCTAAACAAAGTCACAACGGCCGGTGTAAATAGCCTCTGCTTTTAAGGGTATTTTCGGAAACCACAATTTGAATCTCCCAATGCTCTTCTTTGCTTTTGCTCTCTCTGTGACTCTGTCTTTTGTCCTTTTCCGTCATTTCACATTACTCTCTTCTTCTTCTTCTCCTCTCTGACCGTTTCTCATCTCCAGCTCTCATTTTCTCTCTCATCTTCAACCCTTTAACTCTCTCTCTCAGAACTCTTTCTTTGGACGAATCTGTAAATTTTCAAAGGAAAATAAAGAAACAGAGAGATCTATTTTCGGTAAGTGTTTATACTATTATTTTCACTTAATCAAGTTTTGTTTGTTAAACTTTCATGTGGGTTTCTGGTGAATGATTCGATTCCATTATTACTTAATTTTTTTTTTCTAAGTTTTCATTTTTATGGAAGGTTCATGTCGCTGGCCGTGGGCCTAACCTCCATTGTTGTTAGCTAATAACAATAATGTTGAATTTATTTGCATTAATTGTTTTTTTGTTCATTTATATATATACATAGTCGGTTCTCTAAAAGGGTTTTAGGACTTTCTTCTTTTACAGCAAAAAAAAAAGTTTGGATCTTTTGTTCATCTTTGTTTTTTTTTTAGTTTTTTTTTCTATTTTTCTCTTGCTCTGTTCTATGGCTTTTTCTTCTCATTCTTGGGTTGATTTGTGATTTCTGTTTGGGTTGATTTAGTCTGCAGGGTTTAAGCAGAGGTTGGTTTGTCAATTTCTTTCTTCAGATTTACTCTACAATGAAGTGAGAATTTCAAAAAATTAACAAAGAAAAAACTTGGGACTTTAGCAAGGTACGACCTTTGACTTTATTAAGTTTGTTTGTAAGGAAACTTGCTTCTAAAATTGTCAAACTTTTGATTGAAAAGTTTGAAAATCTCAGGGTTTTAGTGGTTATGTTCACATCTTCAGGTCTTATAATCGATTTTAAGCTCTCTTTGGTTTAGACCAATGAGCTCTGTTCCTAGGGTTTGTAGATGAGAAATGTCTTAAGGGTCTGTTTGGTTAGCTGCATAGCGTTTAGACCGCTGTTGCTAGTGCGTTCTAGAGTCTAAAACCACAGTGAGACATTGTGGGTCTTGTGTCTGATTGTACTAAATGTATTTGGTGGGTTTGTCAGGCTTTGAAGTTGTCCTGTTCTTTCAAATGGTAGAAATTCAATTTTTACCCATACATTTGGTTTTTAAGGTTTGTACTGTTTTCACATTATGGTTTGTTGATATACTAATATAGATTTGTTCTGTTTCTTTAATGCTAGTTTTTAGAGAGATGAAAATAAATAAACATATTCTACTGAATTATTCTGCCTAAGTCATGTGTTTTTTGCAGAGATTATATGGGTGCAATTTTTTTAGTATTTGTTTGATTCTGTAGCAGCACATTTTGACTAAATAGCCTCGCAGAAAGAGCAAACATATTCACATAAATAATAAGAAAGAAAGAAAAAAAGTAGATTGGTTTCATTCATATAAAGAAATGGTATACACACAACTTGCTTATTCTTTTATTCCTTCTCTTATAAAACTAGCATTTTCTAAGCATGAACCATGAACTCTTCACAACTCTTGAAGAATATTTTAAAGAAGTATTATTCATTGTATATATGCGTCTTGATATTTATGTGTAGTTCTCTCTTTTATATGTTGATCACTATCAGTGAAACATTCTTTTACTTTGAGCCTTTTTTCATATAGTTCTTCACTAGTTTCTTTGATAAAGCAAGTCCTATTTAGAGATATTACTAAAAAGATGCTTGGCCCTCCATTAACGGTCCTTGATCCAAGTATTAAAGCTTGTTCCTCTTTTTCTTTATGTATCGAAAAAATCATCATTACAAGTCTGATTCACTCTCTTCTTTCCTTTGCTTTATAATTCCTTTTGTGGTGATTCTTGTCTTATTTGTTACTGTGTTCTTGATTCTGTTGTCTCCTTACTAATCTTCTTTGAAATGGATCTGCAGATGGAGACTGTGAGACCAATGGTTGTTGCTCCTAAGGGTAAACTCAGACGCAAGTTTGCGAAAGTTCTTAACATTCATAAGCTAACGGGTGTTGCTCCAGAAGGGGAAATGAAGAAGATAAAGTTCGATTCCAAAACCGCTAAACTGTCTGAGTCATTCTACAAGCTTGAGGAAGAGTACGAGAGAAGTCTGGCATTGGAAGCTCTTCTTGCGAAGCTTTTTGCAACGGTTTCTTCCATCAAAGCGGCTTATGCGCAGTTACAGCATTCTCAGTCTCCGTATGACTCGATCGGGATTCAAAAAGCAGATAACTTGGTGGTAGCCGAGCTTAAGACTTTGTCTGAGATTAAACAATGTTTCTTGAAGAAACAAGTGGATCCAAATCCCGAAAGGACTTTGGTTCTCGCGGAGATTCAAGAGCTGAGGAGTCTATTGAAAACGTATGAGATAATGGGGAAGAAGCTTGAGTCTCAGTATAAGCTTAAAGACTCGGAGATTATATTTCTAAGAGAGAAACTCGATGAATCGATGAAACAGAACAAGTTGACAGAGAAGAGACTTAACGAAAGCGGACAACTTTGCAATCCTCTTGACAATCTTCACCTATCGGCGCTTAATCCAACACATTTCGTTACTTACCTACACCACACAGTCAAATCCACCAGAGGATTCGTGAAGCTAATGATCGAACAAATGAAACTAGCTGGTTGGGATATATCATCAGCTGCTAATTCGATCCATCCCGGTGTGTTCTACTACAAGCAAGACCACAAGTGTTTCACTTTCGAACACTTTGTTTCCAATGTAATGTTCGAAGCATTTCATCTACCGTACTTCTCAACTTCAAGTGATTCAAGAAGCTACAAGAAGAAGAAACAGAGCAATGCAGATAGAGAAATGTTCTTTGAAAGGTTTAAAGAACTCAGGTCTATGAAAGCGAAAGATTATCTAACTGCGCGGCCTAAATCAAGATTCGCTAGGTTCTGTCGAGCCAAGTACTTGCAGCTTATACATCCAAAGATGGAGCAAGCTTTCTTCGGACATTTGCATTTGAGAAACCAAGTTTCTGCTGGTGAATTCCCAGAGACGAGCTTATGCTCTGGATTTCTTGAAATGGCGAAAAGGATTTGGCTTTTGCATTGCCTGGCTTTCTCTTTTGAACATGAAGCTGAGATCTTTCGAGTACCTAAAGGTTGTAGATTCTCTGAAGTGTATATGAAGAGTGTAGCAGAAGAAGCGTTTTTCCCGGCGGCGGAGAGTTCGCCGGAATCTGAGCCACGTGTCGCGTTCACGGTTGTTCCAGGGTTTAGGATTGGGAAGACTTCAATACAATGTGAGGTCTATCTCTCGCTTTCATGATCGCCGTTCGATCTAAGATTCGAAGTCGGACGGTGAGGATTCTTGGGCGATTTGGTAATTTCTGGAAATACTGGGGTATTTTTAGAAAATGGAGAAAAATTGTGGGCCGTTGGATTTGAAGTAGCGAAGTAGTGTTGTGTTTAATGTTTTTTGATTTTCTGTCTTTTGAGTTTTGTCGATATTAGTTCAGAGAACACAGAGGCATCTTTTAGCTGTTGTCCATTGAATATTTATCTCTTTTTTAATATAATATGTAAATATTTTATATGTTTATTTGTGCCTACTTGGAGAAAAATAAAATAAGGAGCGTAATGTTGGAAATTATCCAATTTTTTAGGTGTATAAAAGATTTGGTATATGATTGAAATCCATAAATATTTAATACTTGAAATGTTGGTAAGATGGTATTTTATAGTATAGAATTTGCATGTATAAGCATTGGATCCATTCTAAATGTATTGCTGGTCTATGAACCATCCAGCACTATGTCTCCCTGTTTTGTGTTGGCACATGCATTGCACATTACAATTCTCGTCCACCATTTTCCTTAGAAAAAAAAAGGTGTAAATGTGAAAAGATTATAATGGTCCATGTATTTCTGCTAATTGATTATATACATGAACACGAATAAAATCCAATTTGTTTTTTTTTTTTGGGTTCATTTTATGTTTAAATATTGATAAGGTTTTAGTAATCGATTATCGAAGAAATTAGTTGTATTGACTACAAACACGTCAATATTTTGTGGGATACTACCACAAAGGCGGTGCTATCAAAAGTACATCGAAACGATAATATTATTTTCATTAAATTATTGAGTTTACACGTATTGGTATTTGGTGTGCATTCAAATGTTAAGTGATGAGTCTGGGCCAAGAATCTAACATCAATTGACCAAATATTATGGTGGGGTTCGGATCTAATTGAATAAAATCTTTTTAAAAAATTGGTTTCAAAGTTTGTCGGAAAAGCTCCTTTTTTTTTTCACTTTTACCGTTGTTTAGTGGTGCTTTGAAATTGAATAACCTAGCTTGATCTTCATCATTTTACAACCTCTATAAGTTCATGAATGAGCTGCATATATATTTTCAAATATATAATTTGAATAAAATATAGTATTAGCGTTACTTCGTAGAGGATCTATAACTAATAAAAATTCGGAATTTTACATGTAGGTAAATGTTTGCAAAATCATTGATAGGTTCGTGTGTTTCTGATATATCTTTTGGGCCCTTAATCATATTCAAGATCTTACATGCTCACCATTGGCTGTTTATGGTGGTCTCTCCGGTTCGATCTTGTGCTGTGCTCTTCTGGGTATGGTGTCTTCCGGTTTTGAGGTTGGTTTCGCTCCTTGTTTCTACATTCAAGACTTGATCGAGGTCTGGTCAGTTCAAAGGCTTTTACTTAGGCGTTCAAAAGTCGTTGTTTTCGACTTCGCCGCTTTCGGAAAAAGTTTGGTGGAACTATAATTCTTTGTCGTGGTTCTTTCTTGCCGGAATAGAAGTCTAGGTTCACTTCATATGAGAGGTAGTTTTGATTCACTATAGGAGGTTTCGTTGCTTGCGTTGTTTGTGAGTGGCTTTGATCATCTTGGTTTAGAGGAGTTTAAGTCACCATTCTCTTCTTTAGAGGTCTTGTTTTTAGTCGTTGCCTTTTGTTTCGTCTGTTGAGGGCTATGCCCCGTTCTTTTTCATGCTTCCCTCGTTTGGGCTTAGTTTCCGGAGATATATATCTTTGTCTTCCGCCGGCTTTGTGTATTAAAATCGTATTCCACCCCTGTATTCCTCAATCGTATAATATAATGGAAAAATTTAGACGAAACAAAAAAAACGGTATATATTTTCAAAAATATAATTTGAATCATACATATAAAAGTAGGGTTTCACTCTCCCATGATTGGTCCACTTGGCAATTATTTTTAAAACTAAAATTAAAAATAATAATATTTATCTCCAATTAAAATATAAATACAACATATTTAATCATACACATTAATCTACTTTTAAGTACTAAATTGTAACTGAAATTATATAAATTATGTATTAAATATTTGTCTCCACTCAATTTCATTCAACAACACTATTAATTTTAATTGTAACCCCCTAATTTAATAATTTTCTAAATGTAACTTCCATCATCTCATCCTATAAATAATCATTCTCTCATCCTCATCTACCATATCTCAAATCATAAATATTTTTCTACTTTCTTTCTTTCAATCTTATGTTGTTGCATTGGTTGAAAAATCAATTGAGACATCATTATAAGAGTTTGCTTCTAAATTTTATGTCTAGATATGGTATGTATTTTACATTTTTTCCAATTTTATTATAATTCTAATGTGTTACTAGAATATTCTTTAATTTTCATATTTTTAATTCAAAATTATTATGTATTATAATTTTTCTGATGGTTATAACAAAAAATTCATATTTATAGATGGAGATTCAAAAAGAGCAATTCAATCAATAGCACAACAAGGAGATCAAGTTGAAAAAATTCATCTCCAATATCTACGATAGACATTTAGTTATTTTTTTCATATTCATGTATCTTTAAACTAAAATAATTATTGTAATAAATTTATCAAATAAATTGTACCTACTTTTTGTTTTTTTTTTTTATCTCAATAATTGTTTTCTAATATTTTTAATATACTCATCACCATTATGTTTAGTTTGTTAATCTAATAGACTACTATATAAAATATTAATGTTATATTTAATATATTCAATTTTTGTACTTTTTGTTTTTTATCTCAATAATTGTTTTGTAATATTTTTTAATATTTTCATCATCATTATGTTTAGTTTGTTAATCTAATAGACAATTGTATAAAATATTATTATTATATTTATTTTATTCAATTTTTGTGTGTTTTAATTTCTTTATTTCTTAAATTACTTTTTTCTTATCTCAAATAATTTTTGGCAGCATTTTAATATACTCATCATTACATTTAGTTTCTATGATCTAATAGATATATAATGATCACTATAAATTTTATTTTATTCAAGGTTAGTGGTTTTTAATAGTAAAACAAAACAAACTATAAAATTTATTTCTAAATTCTAATTAACTCATATTCAAAATCATTTATAAACTCCACATTTAATCCAAATGTAACTCCTACCCAATAATTATTAAAAAAAAACTTCATTGCACTATATAACTCCACATTTAATCCAAGTGTAACTCCTACCCAATAGTTACAAAAACTTCATTCTCCCCCTAAAATACATTAAATATTTGATTATATATATTGACTACAATTTATGAATTGAATGGTAAATATAAGACAATAATATTAAATAACTCTAAAATACAATATACAACGAGATTGAATTCACATTATCATAATTTTTGAATTCATGAATAAATGCACATTATCATTAGTTTAGACACTGAATTATCATTTTTCTAACTGTCAACTAAAAACTCTAAAAAAAAAAGTAATGTCAGTTATTTTTGTGAAATATTTTATATTGTTTAATTTCCTATTGTTAGTTAAGTCTTGTTTATGTATATCTTCTTTTGTTTTTTGTTTTTTGTTTTTCCCTTTAAGATTTACTTTGGTTTTTGCTTTGTTCTAAATGTAATTGATGAATTTTTTGCATCTTCTCCGAACCATATTCTTCACAATATGGTAGAACTAAAAACTAAAGAGGAGGATGTGAAAGCATCAAATGCATTTTAAACCATTAAATGTATATGAAGGAATGAGTGGATAATGGAAAATAAAATCAATTATAAAAGCAAGCAAGGATCCATTAGAAAAAAATGAGGATATGTATGATAGGGAAACAAAGTTTTGAAAGGAAGAGGATCGGTCATGGAGGTTCATGGAATCACAACTTCACAAGCAGATGTAGAGCACAAGGTTTATAAAGTTCAAATGGTGGCTAACTTGAGGCAAGTGTTCGGATAATCTCGGAAAAATGGTGAAAATATGATGATAGGTATGATAATAATAGGTTAACGTCGTAATTTACTTGTCTTTCCAGATGAAATATTTTCAGTTAAATTTTAATAAAAAAATTTCTTATTTTTGTTTATTAAATTTATAAATATATATATACAGCCTCATGGGTATTAATTAAATAAAATATGATCAACATAGGTGTTCACTAAATTAGGAAAAATGTATAGATTTTTATAATAATATATCCTATAAATTTTGTAATACTTTTGTTTGTTTTATTTTTCTAAGTTTGTTCTATAGATTTTTCATTTTATTTTAAATTTGGTATGATAAATAACCATACTAAATAAATTTGATAAAAATGCAAGGTTTCACTTTGTTTTTATTTGACCATTTAACTTCCACATCGTTGCCATATAGGAAGCAATATAATAGAAAAACAATAAAAAAAATTTCACTATGTTAGTTGAAAAACAATGTTATTTTTATTATTTTTTAGAAATATAATAGAAGCCATTATAGAATAATCCACGCGTCGCGTGGACTAACACCTAGTAAAATATAGTATTAACGTTCCTTCCTAGAAGATCTATAACTAATAAAAATCATTGATAGGTTCGTGTGTTTGTGATATATCTTTTGGGCCCTTAATCATATTCACATGCTCACCATTGGCTGGGTCCAGGCATGTACATGGTTAGTTCCCGGTTTGGCCTTAACTTTTATCGGCAATATCAAGACAGATTCGGTTCATATTTAAAGCCAAAACCAAAAGACTCGTTTACGTACCTAAGTTTTAAAATCAGGGATCAAAGGCAACATCTTAAATGTGATTAAGTTAGCTGTTTTTACGATAAAATCCAACAAATCAGAGTTGAAAAAAAAAAAAATACAAAGTCTAGCTAAAGTTATCATGAAGCCATGAACACACTTACATAAACTTCATATTCTCTACAAAGTCTAGAAAGGTGTAAGGGAAATTAAAAGGATGCTTAAACTCTTCAAATCCCTTAAGATTGACTCTTGTACAAGTCTTCCTCTCCATGTAGAAGAAAATGTAGAAAGTGCTTGGTAGATAGCATGGGTACGGCGAAAAC